GTAGATAGTAAATCATAACGTAGATATCTGATCGTCACTCATGTTCGGTATGTACAAATTTAGTCCTCAGTTTCGCACATGAAAGCTGAGAATATCGGCTTGGTTAGGGTGGGAGATTATAAGGATTCGAATACATGCCGGCCATCCACATCTCATTCTCTTGCAGTGACTGATCTGCAGTTGTAGGCGCCCCGCCATGCATATTGCGGTTGCGACTCCGGCTCGAATTTTGCGCCTCGGCCATGGTATTGGCATAAGCGAAACCCATGGGCGCTGGTGCAGTTGTCATGGGTTGGCCGGCAGCCTGGCTCGTCGGTTGAAATTCATTACTGCTTGGGTCTGCTTGCCCCGGGAAAAGATAATTGAAGTCGGGCCCGAACAAGCTGCCTAGGGCGTGTGGGGTGACTTCCCAATCTGCTGTTAAGGGTATCTGCCATAGTTCAGGCTGGGAAAAGTTGAAGCCGTCACTGTTGACTGTGATGGGGAAGAAGGAGCTCTCGAGACCTGATGGTAAAGGGCTATCGTAGGATCGAGAGGGAGCGGATGGAGGTGCAGGTGCGGGTTGAGACAGAGGCTGCGTGGTTATGGTCGTGACAGGGTGGGAGAATGTCGGACCCTGGACTGGACTGGGGGTTAGATTGTCGGGGACCACGTAGCCGGCGGAGTTAACCGGGGGAAGGCCTTCAAGATTTGGGATGTCGATGCTTAAGGGGCGGGCGGAGGGAGGCACGGGAAGGCTTGATTCGGATGTAGGATAGGTGGTTGTGCGTGAGGACTGAGGGGATGCCGCACGCACAGATTTCTGATCCTTTGCGGCAGTGCTGTTTTTGCGGGATGAACTGTGATGTTTCGCTTCACTGGGTTTGACGGTTCTTTGATTTCGCTCGACGACAACTCTGGCTACGCGCTCGAAATTGGCACACATCCTCGTCATAAAGCGAGCGTAGTGACCAGGCCCGTCGCCGGGAATGAGGGTTGCGAAGAACGTCGCCGCCATGTTCAGGGATTGTAGGTCGTCTTTGACTTTCTCGTTCTGCGGATCTCGTAGGATATTCACGAAAATGTTCATGACTGCCAAAAAGATGTAATACAGTAAGGACCTGGGCATTGTCAGTCGTCATAAAAGGCCGCTGCGCAGACAAGGGTTCTATTTATTGCTTACCATATCCAAGCAATATCACCCCATGGCAAATTGTTCACTAGCCTCACGGTGTCCCGGGCGGCTTGAACGCAGATCGCAGCTGAAGCAGACGCCTCGCTCGAGATCAAGTCATAATCCATTGGGGGGTGGTGGCCTCTTGCGATGTAGTGCGCCGAAGCAAATTGAATCATCAGAGGCAGTCGATGTATCATAATCATGGTATTATAATAGACAAACTGAAGACCTGCCGAGGCAAAGCCGAGCAGGAAGTCCTGACCAGCACCTCTTTGTTTCATTCGAAACTCGAGCGCATTGACACGTTTCCACTCCTCAAGCTCATCGTGTAGCTCCCGAATATTGTTGTAGATCTCCTCGGGTGACTTATTCTCCAAAGCTTTTGCTGCATAAAGCTTACTGAACACGCGGCTTTTTATCACCGTAATCTGGCAAAGATGACGGAAGAACGAGCCGTCGCGAGCTTTTACAAATGGATCGTGAATATGATCAACAGGAAAGTCCACATCAAAGTCTTCGAAGTGTTGGGCTGGGGCGCTTCCTGATCGAACACAGGCACTGTAACAGGCATTAGTTAGCAAGGCCCAGAAGAATTTCGCAATGAAAGAGGGACTGTAGGTTTGACATTTGCATGTCTTACCTTTGATCCAGGATATATGCAATCCAAAATACCCTTCTTCTTTGTTCCTGTTCCTCCGGGGTAAGGTAGGGCCTTGGTATATTGCGGTGTAGACCCATCCGCTGGCAAATGCGCATGGCCGCCGTGATTATTGGTAATGCTGACTGAGTCCCCGAATTCCCCCGCAGAAAGAAAGCCATGCCTAGAAGGGCTTGCACGCTTAGGAGGTCAGTCCGTCGCAGAGAGAGCTCCGCAAAGACTGACATTGCGTTCTTATAGTATAGCCACGCGCGTTCTCGATCTTTCTCGGACTTTTGGCAGTTAGAAAAGCGGTACTCATAGGCTAACGAAAGTATGATGTTGATACTGGCCCATCGGGCAGCATCATCACACGTTTGCTGTGTGTATTGCCACTCCACGAGCTGCATGAAAGACTGTTCATGATAAAGCGGAAATAGGCGGTTCACAGTGCGAAAATAGTCCCGCAATAGAGTGAATACCTCGGCTCTCGGGGGTAAAGGCTTGAACACTTGCGAGGCAAACAGGTCATGGAATACTTCCGGTCGCCAGGCATCCCAGGCGTTATCTCGATTGGAGTCAGAAAATACGACGTTTAAGATCTTGTCTTCGCCCGTCTTGTGCTTTATCCATTCTAGGGCCTCCCGTGATAAAATGGACAAAGAAGATGACCGACCTAGTACAGGTTAAAACCAAAACGGATGCGAAAAAGTGGCATAATAGACGACCGTCATACCATAATACCTGTCGTCCTCTCTGCTATCCAACTTAAACACCGGGGCGTGAGTGTGAGAGCACTTTTTTGATGGGGAGCTCCCGTCTTCTGGGAGTTTAGATGAGTTGCTAGGGCCAAGTGACTGACGGGACGGGGCGGCATAAGATGTACTAGGTCCTGCGTCGTTCTCCGTTGGTGCACGGTACTGTAGATGATCATAGTCCCTTGAGCCATCCGAAGTCAATGCCCCCGAACTACGCCGGCTGGAGACCTCGCGGGGGCTAAAATAAGGCGAGATGGATTCATCTCCCGAGTCACTTCCATAGTCGGGCCTTCTATCACCATCATCGTCGCTGAGGCCGCCATCCAAACTCATCAGGTCATCGCTTAGAAGACCAGCGGCTCTGAGGATAGACTCTGTTCTCCTCACCCGGTTTTCCAGAGTTCTCACGTAGTGCGCCCTACGGGTGTTTTGTTAGCAAGTGTCTTCGGGTCGAAGTTGTGTGGAGCATCTAGACAGTAGACGGTTACCTTTTTAGGTCTTCTCGTTTTTCTTTCCTCGTGGTGAATTTGCAGGTTGTATTACGACGCAGACATTGTATACATGTTGTACCTGAACCTTCGGTCTCGCATTTGACCTTTTTCTTATAGCACGCTTCGCATGCCTGTCACAATGAGCTCAATTGATGTACATCCAAGAGCGGGGAGAATGTCGCTCACCAGTGGGTTGCGCCTCCGGATCCTCAGATCTTGGCCGCTGTGGGTGCCTGCACCCTTCTGGATGATGGGATGGTTATCTTGCACACTCCATGAGGGCAACAATCCCGCAGCTACTTCTGAGTCCTGCATGGCTTTGTATGCACAAAGCAACTGTTTACTGTGACCATGAGTAAGGAAGGCCCATAGGGGGGCTTAGTGGACCGGATGGAGACAGAGCAGCCAGTCGTCTTGTCTGCGATAAAAGCACTAGAAAATTATGGCCGGTATTGATTGGCTGACAGTTATGAGAGCATAGAAACGGGAGGCAAAAGTGAAAAGCAGACTAAAAAAAAAATATTCAAGGCGCTCCGATCACACAAGCAATGATATACACAGGAAAACGGAAGTTAGTTGGAAGCTGACGGCGCGCCTATGACAGCGCTTCACGCGATGGATCGAATATGGCAGAGCCGGTCCCGCTTAGCGCTGGAGATTCGGGTGAAGTGGCGTGCAGTTTATTCCGCCCAGCAAGCGAGGGAAAAGGGGAAGGTCGATGTAGAGCAAGATCAGGGACGAAGCGACATATACTGTGCTTGTGAAATGGACCCTTCGCTCACTTTTGCTGATATTACAGCAACTGCCAGCAGATGACCAACGTTGGGCAAGATTTTTCCTTTTCCTCTTGAACAGCCAACCGAGGGTCATCGCCAAGATTATTAATGACGCTCTAGCCTTTGAGGCGCTCGGCGGTCGGCACTCGTCGCTTCCGTCTCCGTCGGGCTCGTTGGCGCCGATGGTTCGTTCGATTGTATCTCTAGTCCATTCCAGAAGAACTGCTCTTTGAACCCTGGCGCTTATTCGCTTTGAGACTTCATCCGTTCAGACTCTTATCTGGTTTATTCCAAACAGTAAGGCGATGTAGTGATCTGGTGAATAGAGACAGGGCAAAGGCTTCTCTACGGCTTGAATTCATGGTTTCTTAAATGTCGTCGGTAATGCCAGTGATGAGCTGATAATTCTAGAATCGATTTAGAATCCCTGTCAGCTACTGACTCAATAGCCTGCTCGCTTTTGTTTGCTCTGAATGAACCAAATGCATACCTTGTATAGGCCCAGTACTCATGTTTTACAGTCTTGCCAGCGTCTGCCTTTCGGACGCAATCCCTCCTAATCCAGCAAGACACCCTCTATCTCATTGGGTATGCTTGATGCCGCCGAACGCTGCAAACCTGTGTGTACCAATGAGCGTCGCTCCTTCGATTCCGATGGATATATTTTAATCTCTACCCAGTAGTTGCACTCAAAGTAAGTGTTGGGCTTCCTTCGTGGCCTAATTTATCTCGAAGAACCCTATGGATGCCTGTCATATATCGCCATTGCAACACTGAAGGTATGCGTAACTCTGCCGTAGAGATTTTGTCCAGACGACTGCTATTTCTAGGCTAGCTTTCCGAGCTTCGGGGGTTCACTTAATGAAGAGGGGGGTAAATCACTATCAGAAGCTCATTGTTAGCACGGGGTGGATGATTAGAGCAAGAAATCATGCGGTATGGCAGCCTTACGAACCCATAGTTGTTGCAGCGACTAAGGTTTTAGACTAAAGGTCAGAGTCCGATCAGATAAAAGCCCGCGTCAGACTTTCATTGGACTTCCCCAGTCCAGGAAAGCTCAATCTCCCCCGCATTTCGTGGAAGATGCAGTGCTCTCTCCTCCTCGCCTCCCCAACGAGCAAAATAGAACTTGCCTGCTCAGCTCAGCTGATTGTCCCGGGGGGCGCGGGAGTTATGACATGTCATCTTGGGACGTAAACAGATTATTTAATGGATGCATGCTCATCTGTTTGATGAAAGAGCCAGAGCTTGGTAAAAGACGCGCACGCTATTGAGTGAGTATCGTTCTGTTGCTATCCATTGCCTTGACTGCTGACTCGGTGCCCACCTTAATGGCTCCTGGTCTCGGTAAAGGTAGTATCAATTCTTGTCTAATCGGATTGAGTCACCTTTTCCCTCTCCATGTGAAGCCTTTCGAGCAGTAGAAAAAGCAAGTATATGAGAGACAGGAGAAGGGAGAAAGTTTGACGGCCGAAGAATAGATGGATCGTGTCTTCCGCGTTGGTAAACACTGGAGCACGTGCTAGTTCATCAGCCGGTGTAGTTATTGCGTACCGTCTGTACAACAACAGACAGTTGCATACGATTAGCATTCGTAAACCATACCCGATTAGATTACTGCCGTGGTACATTTCCGAGGTTCGCAACTCTGCTATACAGACTGGCGTAGTAGAACATAATCCAGCCGGGGCGATACCTAGTAACCATTGGTGTGCTAAGCAATTTACGGCTACTCTAGGCTTTAGCTGTAGCAAGTGGCAATCTACGCCACTCAAGGAGCAAAGGACTAGAAACACCGAGTCAGCTCACGAAACTTAAAAGACGCAGCCTGGAACGGCATCTCTCGTAGTCATGTTAGATATTACGCTTGGTCTCTTCCTAGTGGATATGTATACATTCCGAAAAGGAAACATCTCCCGAATATACGAGCCCTATAGGCATTGCTACTGCACGAGTAAGACATGAGCTAAAATTTCATGTACTACTTCTTGGCAAGTGGGCAGGAAGAAGTCAAGCATGAAGATGGGTGGCATGGGGCACAAATTGGCAGTGGAGAATCAACTTCCAGCGGCGCAGTAGGTGGTTGGAGAAGTGGATAGTAGTCAATCCAGTCGGACGCGGAAAAGCCTATTAGGTTGTCGACGTGGTAAGCCTTCTTTACGTAGGTTAATGCATAATTGGAGTTATTGTGGTCCATTGCGGCGCCGAGATGGTCCCGAGAAGAGGACATCCACTCTCCGTAAGATTCGAGACTTCTCCGTGGACCGTGTCATCCATCGGGGAGGTCTTTTTGAATGACAGCAGGATGCAGTGGGTACGCAATGAGAGGCTAGGTCAGTAGCACTTACCGGAGAACTCCCGTCAATCAGGGACCATTTTGACTAACCAGTCCAATACAGTGCGTAGTCTGTGGTGACCCGCGAAGAATCAACTGTAATTGACAGCAACCGCATGGTCCAGATAATGCACATTGCGGAACTTGTGCAACGCAACCAGTGCAGGTGTAAGAACCGTACTTAAGTATACTCTGCAGGCCAGTCGAGGACCCAACTAACCAAATCCGCGGAACTTGACAGGACTATGTAAGGGGAGAAAGATCTTCCACCCGATGGATACGTTGAGGAAGTTGGACTGGGGAGCAGTGTGGTGTCGATCGGTCCGATCATAGCCAAACACAGATGGCCACCAGCACAGTGAGGTCATTTTCCGCCGTGGAGCGCGGGGAAAGCAGTCCCTCCAGTAGAGATAGAGGCAGAGCAGCAGAAGATGGATTCAGGAGACGGACGGACGGAAACGCCAAGCTTGCATGTTAGTCAGTAGTTATGGTTAGTTAGTTAGTTAGCTATCCAGAATCCAGATGCCTCGAAAGTTCGATCAAGGAAGGAATCAACGACCGGGAGGACCGCGTCATTCAGCAACGCGTTTAACTGATTATGATTTGCTCCGAGTAATAGTGAAACGGCAAATACAGAATATCCCAGGGCTCGGACAAGGTGCTTTTGTGAGAGCAGTGGAGAAACCGAGGTCTGGCTCAGCGATGGGTGGACTGGAAGAGAATATTAATATCTGGGAGAAGACAGTGCTCAGGGAAGGGGATTGGCTCATGGTCCAACCCCTGGTGGAAAGCTAATCCCAAGACGGGCCACACTAATCTGCGGCGGATAATGTTAGATTGGATCATGGATGGTCGTTGGCTGTAAGGTTCTGGTAACGGAAATGCTAGACTCATAGTTAAGCCACCCTCAGATGTGGGTATCAAAATTACCCATGATTACCAATTGTTCTCCGTGCCGTGGCACTTCCCCTTTTCAGTGGTCGACGGGGCGGGACTGGGAGGGACTTTTCGCTCCTCTCGGACGGCGTTCGCCTGTCTTTGTCATGTCCGGGCGATGATCGAACAGGTTGACGTCCGCATTGTACTGGAAGTAGTAAGTAGTGGGAGTAGTTAGTATAGTAGTTGGTTAGTACGTACTGTGTTAGTAGTGGTGCTGCCCAGTGCCGTGCTCCTCCCCCCCCTCCCTCTCCCCTACTGGACCTTCTTAGCATTCTGGAATGAGTAAGTAACTGGTTTTTTTTTTTTTTCCCTTCTCCTTCCCTAAAATCTATCCCCGATCCAATCTTCTTCTGTTTTATCTTTCCCATCCCCCCTCCTCCCCAACTATTTTTGTTTCTCTTCCCCTTGGAAACTATATCTATCCATCTTCTCCTCCCTCCCGCTCTCCGGACTCCTCCGCAACTGCCCGCCCACTTAAAGCGGTGAAACCATTTGGCCATTTCCGAGGCTGTGACTGACCAACCACAGCGTGCGATCACGACATTTCTCCATTCTATCAGATCATCCGCTAGCCTTGCCCGGGCATGAGACGATCACCACAACTGCGTGGTCCTTGGTGCTTATTCCCCGGCCTGACGCTCGTTTTTCTCATCTTTTCGCCCTGGTGATACATGGTCCTGGTTGCTGGTCGTTTCCTCCTTCTGCAACTAACTCTACCTACTCTGAAATCCCACCCCTCTCTTTAATCTGGCCACGCTTGGTCTCGATCCACATCGCAACCTGACTAGCTTTCCCGGTCGCCCCCTTCTTCCCTCCCACCCATCCCTCCCGGCCCATTGTCCCATTACTGCTCGTGCTTCTCTGCGTACGTGGCTAGCCGTCCCGGGCCATGCCATAGCGAGTGATGGAGTGAATTGCAGAACAGATATCTTTGCTACAAGTCACCCAATCTGCAACCTGTGAAATATTCCTGCCAGCCTGTATTATCTCCGAACCTTACTTTTCCACTCACACACACCCCCCTTCCCCTCCTTTTTTTTTTTACACGCTGATCTGGGGTTTGGCATTGGCTTGTCAATTCTGTACCATTCTGTTGTCATCTAAACCACTTCTGGATCCTGCCTGTCCGGGACGCAGCCACCAAGCAATTTGGGAGGCAAGCGGTTACGAAAAAGAAAAATACCCAAAAACGAACCTAATTTAGAGGGCAAGGGCCGGAATCCCTCTAAATACCTCCCTCCACTGCCAATATGTCAGATGAGCAACTCGCCCGTCAGACAGCCTCGAGCTTCGATAGGCTCGAAAACTTCAACTTCCTTCTCTCTCGACACGATCCTAACTTGGCCAAAAGCCGTCACTATTCCTTTGACGCAGATTCTACCGGCCTGGCTGCCTTTTCGAATCTGAACATGGATTACGATCAGACCGAGGGGATGGGCGGTCTCTCCGTCAGTTCGTACGATAGCATTGAGGACGAACGCAGTCCGATCGATGTGCGCGGATATCCGTATCATGGTAAGTCTCCAAGATCTATGACTCTCATCGTTGCATCGTTTGCGCAATTTTCGTGCTTTGTGGTTCGCTTTAATTTCGTTAGCCCTACGGCATTGGATGGCTTTATTATGCTGGAAGTTGCTGTGGAAGCGCATGTAACCGCAGATGCCTTGTCCCTGTTGCTTGTGACCAGATTTGTCTTGAACATGATCCTCCCTGCGTCCTTTAATTCTGGCTGCCTGAGAATGGCCATATTGAATACCTTCTGTAACCACTCTTCCCCTTTATTTGTTCGGGGGGTTCTCTCGATTCTGTTGATTTTTTTCGCTGCATTGCGAAAATTCTGCAGCTCCGGGACACCTTACCCACCTTGGTGTTGGTTCTATGCTTGTTCGCTCGTCTTTGGTGTCATTAGCTTGAGGTTTTGGTGGGTTGCCATCCCCATGTCTGGATGAGCGCTCTATTTGAGCACGCAATCGTTCACACCAATGACAACGTCGGGAACCCTGTCGTTAACGGACCCTTATGCCGAGCTTACTCTTCTTGATCATCCAAGGCCCCCTTCAAGTGCTCCATGTTCCCCCTGCTTCTGTTTCCTATCTTGAACATTGTCCCCTTCTTCTTGTTGTTGTTGTCTCCATATCACTTCTTGGCGTTGGGTGTTACCACCCCATGCTACCTACTACCAAGGGACAAGTGTATTGACTGCTCTATACAGACCAAATGCTGTCCTACTCAGCTCATCCCATCTATCCACCTATCTCATATGGTCCTCCCGATGACCTGGGACACGGTGCGGGTGCTATGACACCCTCGGATGTCTCCTCTTCGATCTCACCTCCCAACGGTCATATCAACCACAGCAAGTACAGCACGCAGATTCCTGGCGATCACCTTGCTTCCGCCCTTGGCCAGGAGGAGGGCGTCCGCCGTGCTGCCGAAGAAGACCGGCGACGCCGCAACACGGCTGCCAGCGCCCGGTTTCGCATGAAGAAGAAACAGCGTGAACAGGCCCTCGAACGCACCGTGCGCGAAACCACCGAAAAGAATGCGACTCTCGAGGCGCGTGTAGCACAGCTCGAAATGGAGAACCGCTGGCTGAAGAACCTCTTGACCGAAAAGCACGAAGCCAGCACGACTCGGATGGCTCCTCCCCCAACTGACAGCACAGCCTTGGCCTCCCAAGGTACCAACGCTACTGGCCCCGGGCAAAAACATATTCAGCCAAAAAAGAAGGGCGTCGGGACCGACAACTGAAGTCAAAGAAAAGAAGTTGCATCCTTGATTCTTGTTTTGAGCTTCTTTTGTTTTTCTTGGTTCATCGTCCTCAATCATTTCGATATTTACATAGTACCTGCGTGGACCTCCATGGGTCTTCTTTTGTATGGGTCCACTCACAGTCTGGGTGGCCCGTCGCATCTGTTTTCGTTTCCCTCTTTTAGGCTGGTTATCCATCCTAGGATGGAGTCAGATGACGATGTAATGACATGTTTCCTATGTTCTTCTATCTCCTGTTTGTGTGCGAAGGTGAGGGTTTGTGGGTCGTCTTCAGCCTGGTTCGGTTATTTCTTCAGGGCCATGGACATGGTTTCGCTTATGGTTGTTGTGAGCTTTCAGCGGGCTGGGGTCAGGGATAGAGTCCTCTGAACCCCTTATATATATACATACGTGCCTCGCAATCGGAGTACTGGGAAGGGTTACTTGTTCATCTCTTGTGTTTTCTGTTGGTGTTGGTGTTGTTGCTGTTGAACGCATTGACCAGCCCAAGTGCAACAGTGGTCTCGACGACTCGACTCTTGTACACGGTGTTTCAGACTCATACTACTATTATCATCTATCTACTATATGCCGAACGGGCCTCAGCCGAGCCCAAGTGCCAGAATGAACTGCACGGCTTATTTCCTATCAAGCAGCGAACTATCATTTATATCAGTAGTCCGAGAACCCTGGATGAGGTGCCCTTAACCATTCAGCCACCGTCCATAAGCAGGTAGTACTACGGAGTAATAATCTCCATAAGGCAAGAAAGACAAGGGTCACATGGCGCCCAACATCAATCCGGGGAATCCGCCTTGGGTGCCCCGACCGACCGACCACCCGCTCCCGACCGCCATTTCTTCCGCCCGTGACATCACCCTCTAATTACTTACTGTAAGTAGTAAATGACTGCCTGAGGAAAGAAGCAAACTAGCAGGCAGCCATCCAAGCCCGGCTGATAGTACCTCCGCAACGTTTTTACAAAAGTAGGCTCTTTCATGATGATTCCTTTAACTGATTGATTCTTCTTTAGTGTGCATACATAGATGAGACACTTAAGCTTCATGCTACTGATACTGCTATTTAGTCGTCCATTCGTATTAAACTTATCATCTGACTATTATATCCTTGGGGAAATACCATCACCAAGATCGATCGAATTAGAAACGTAACTTTAGTAAAAAGTACTTAGTACTAAAAAGACGGGCTAGCCTATCGGAGACATTCTTCCTGCTATTTTCGCATGTAGTTAGTTAGTTGAAACATTTATTTACTTACGATGGAATGGCGTGATATAGAGAGATGGTCACGATTGTTTGGCTAGATCGTATTGGACGTGGGGTGGGTGGGGGGTTTTTCATTCTGATTTGTGCTTTGTATGTTGCTTTTAGTAGTAAGTATGAGTAAATAGCAAACCAAACCCAGGCTGTAAACATACTACTAGTAGTAGCTACCGTGTAAGTTGAACTAAAGAATGTGACTTCAGCCGTTGTGGGTCTTGTCTAATAGAATTGGATCGAATGCAGGCCATTGCACAGCTCATTAACAAGTCCATTAAGTACCTACTCCTATCCCAAAACACACGGATTCAAACCACGAGCACGAGACGAACTCAAGGAATGCATCAATTATAGATACTCTCTCTCTCCTTCTCTCCCCTTCTCTCTGTCCCCATCCTCCTCGCAGGTGGTATAGTAATACATTAATCAGTTCGACAATAGAGTAAGTTCCCCTTTGACCCGGCTATGTCTCCTTGGATCGCGAACATTTTTCACCGCTCGTGTAGGATTCCAATTCCTTCACCAACAGGAGAATGTCTCGATATTAGGGTCGGGACGTGCGTCGTCAGGGGTTGAATTAATCGTAAGGTAACAGGAAACTCGTTAGGGGTAAAGAAACACAAAAGTCATCAAGGAAGAACAACAACATATCAAGCGGGAATCTCAAACCGCAAATATAGAGACAAAGATGAGAGAATCGATCAGTACTCTGGCGGTCTCAAAGAGCGTATATGATCCACCAAGGTAAACTGGTCTTCACCACTTTCTCATCCTAATTTAAACAGACACCGTGACGGGCTCCCGCTCCTCTTCTCGACCCCGCGACTCTCCATCAACGGTGCTGGCCACTTCCTCACCGTCCTCTACCTCGTGCTGGTAGGTCGCATGCTGATCCGCGGGTACCCAAGAGTCACGGCCCATGGGCTGGTCCTGTCCGGAAAGATCGACGCCTTCACGGCCCTTGAGGGTCTCACGGTGACGCTGGGACAGGGTGCGCGAGCGCTGCGAGAGAGTGGGCTTGACCGATGCCTTGGAGGTAACCCAGTTGGCAAGGGCTTCCTCACAGTCTTGGATGATAGCTTTGCTGGCGTCATAGCCATCATAGGCATGGCGAGTTTCGCCGGGAGTAACCGGCGTGTCATCAACCAGGTCCAAGAGGTGCTTGCCGTAACCAGCGATGAGGGCCACCTTCTCGCAATGCTCCCTGAGCGCATCGAACTGGTACTGGAAGGCTGCCTTGAGCTTCTCACGAGTGATGTTGGAGAGCTGGGCTTCGGCCACGAGGGATTCGGCCTCGGCACGGACAAGCTCTTGCTCCAGAACGACGATGCGGGGAGAGTTGGGGTCCTTGTACTTGAGCTTAGCAATTTCATCGGTGATCTTCTGCTTGCCTATAAGCGTATGCACGTTAGTATTGAAACTCCGTAGCTTGGAACAGAGAGCACATACGGTCGCGGCTGGGCTGAACAGAAGCCTCAATGTTGCGGATGCTCTTGATGGTGACACGGTACTGGTCATAGCGGTCGACGAAGAGATCTTCCAATTCGCCAATCTCGTAGAGCAAGACGCCCAGCTTGTCGGTGACATCGGAAACATCTTCGTCGCAGTTTTCACCCCAGATGGAGAGTTGTTGCTGCCAAGCACCATAAATTAGTTGTCGTACTTCACAAGTAGAGGCCAGTACGCGAACATACAGCAGTTTCCATACGCTCCCTAGAGACCATCTCCATGCTGCGCATGACGTTCTTCTCCATCTTCACCAATTGGGAGAGTTTTCTGGCGAGGTCAGGCCCGAAGGCGCCAGCCGTGTTCTTGCGCAAGGCATGGCCTGGATTGACACATGTCAGTATAATCACCATACAAGGCCCAGCCTATTCTCAGCAAATAGCAGTTGTCCAGACCCCTAGCATAGGGGAGTGACCAGAGCCATTGGCCTCCATCCAGAACAAAGACCCGACCATTCCAGGAGACGACTCACCAAAACCGCCCTTTCCAAAGATTCTGTTTGTCTTGGTGGAAGACAATGGCGGAGGAGGATTCTCAATCTGCGAGGCCGTCGGCAGGCGCGACTGGCGCATAGAATAGGTGCGATGCATGGCGAATTGTCCGAGTGCGAAATGTTAGACACAAGGGATGAAACGAAGGAATAGAGAAGAAAGCCGCCGAGATTGGCTGCGAATCGGACGAGGCGGTAGCTTTCAAGAGATTTCTTTGCGCAGGAGTGACGTGTGTCAGAGGGCGCAACGGGATGCGACGGAAGAGGAATCAAGGCGAGAGGGTGGGCAATGCAACGGGTCCGAGATCGAGACACGAGATGGTCCGCAGTGGAAAGGTGGGTGAGTGGTGATGAAGGTAAGGAACCACGCTTGAGAGCCGATGAAGTAGATGGATCAATGACACTTTCGAATTTCCTTTCACTTGAGCCGGGGTGGGAAAGGAGTGGGCTTTTGGGTGCTTTTTCCCCTTTGAAGGCTGGGGAGGGAGAGTGGAGCGAGTTGGGCTGGAAATGAAATGCTTTGGTTGCAACTCTAGAGTCTCGTTCGTGACGTCGAGACTAGACCAGCACTAAACCCGATTGAGAGGCTCCAGTATTACCAGGTGAAATCAGGCAGGAATTGGGGGTGATCACGAGCAACGCAAGGCGATTGGCAAATTTCCTTCTGCAATTAACTTCAATCCAGAGGAACCGGAGGAACAGCCTATAGGGAATAAATAAGGGGATTCGCAGGGGAACTGGGATCTACTTTCTCACTGCAAGCTTCATATATAACCATATTTTTTTTGGTCTCCCCGGAACCCGCGACGTCATCACAACCCAAAGAATCCGCCCAAAAATAGCTGATGTCATCGATTCCTGGTCCCTCGATCAGTCCACAGATGAAGCGAAAGTTTGGCCAACTCGTCAATGTCATACAGAGTTTGAACTATTCTCATATGGTGTTGGTGTCTGTTTTGTGGCTTGCTAGCCGGGTTTTTCGTTTGTCTCATGTCCACAATGATTCAATCTAATTGATTTCATTCTTCTTCCAGGTAGATAGATCTCCTCTACAGTGCTGCTCCGGTGGCTGGCTCGAGCAATTCCACTTGAATCCCCCTTTTCGAAACACGATCGAGATAATCAAGGCGATAGTCCAGACCGCTGCGGGACTATAATTTAGTCTCATATAAACGTACAGATAGTAGGCCCAGATAGTGCCCATCGCCTAGGTGATCGACCGTCTCCGCATTCGGATCGTCCAGGACCAGAACTCCTGGAACTCGGGTCCAGCGGCACTTGCTTAGTGATTCTGCAACATCATGACGAACGGTGGGGTGGCCTTGTTCATCTCCCGTCAACACATGATGTTATGCAGAGTTTTTCCTTCCTTTCGCCTATAACTATCAAGCTCGTGTGACACAGGCACTTATACCCCTTCCAGATGGGATTCGGCAGTAGCCTACGCTAGGTTTTGTACTCCTTAACACTCCGGTTCACCAAGTCATGCCGTCACCAGGAGTTGCACCCTCATCAACTCTGCCCCACAGGTCCTCAGTCAACCTGCTTTCCCAGTGGTGAAGCTAAGTCTCCTAATCTTTTCAAGCTTGAATATAAGCCTGTGGAGTCCACCTGCTGTCTCAGCATGGACCGCATTTTGTTAGGCTGGTCTTCCTAGCCGTTCCCACTTACCCGGTACACCGCAGCTACTTGTGTACAAAACTCTCCCTTTGCACGGCTACTACTACCCTTGTTTCTTTGTTCGGTGTAATCTTTCCCACACGGCAACAATGAGCGCTCACCTTGCCCATCTTAACTGTTATTTCTCCTTGTTTTTTATTCTGTCATACAAGATGCGTAGTAGTATACGGCAGGAATATTGCAGTCTCGTCCAGATACTTAACTCACTCTTGAATACGTACAGTAATTTGCAGCCATACATAGTACAAGCAAACAATATCCATCCAAAGAGTGACGATTGATCTAAGTCATGTTAAGCCATAGATTGCATACATTGTAGTGTTGACAAGGGGTGAGGTTATAAACATCTTCGGAATCAATTCTAAACAATTATCATACGAGTATCTCCCATTGACTGAGTTCCTTGACAATGAAATATGGCTTGTCTGTGGCGATATGATCACGAGCAAATGCAAATCCGTATCCGAATACACGCGCTCAGATTCTGGCATGCTGTGTCACGTGCCATATCAACATCCCACCATCCCATTACGTAAGCATATTTACTGTGGATGGAAATTCTGGAATTTTGAACGATGATCACCATGCGGGGGAAGCCACCATTTGTAGATAATGTGCCTCGAAGAATGCATCCCTCCCTTGAGGTCAGTGGTAGTACCAGATATCAATTACACTCAGCATTGCTGACCGTCTCCAGCACATCGACACTTGCGTCCCCGTAACGGCGCTCAAAGCGCTTGAGTTGAGGGATGTCAAGCTTCTACTTCAAGCCCAAGGCACTTATATCCGACTCATTGACGAAGGGAGCGGAGATCTGCTCGCAGAGCTGAAGGCTTTCAAGCGAAACCATGTGCACGGGTTCGTTGCTCTCAGCCAACAAGAGCAAGTTGCCGGACCCTCACATGCCCGGTTCATCGCCTGGGGAGGACAGTCCGTGAGAGCTTTTGACTTGTTCTTCTCTGCTCAGGAGTCCAGTGCGAGTCTTGTCGCTGCAAGCGCTGAATATCAGGGACCGGATTGGATCCTGGCTGGTTGTGCGTCTAGCCATGAAGAGTCCACGACTGCATACGTATTGACGGCGCACAATGCCGTTCTTGGTCTGCACATCGTAGATGGAGACAGGTCAAAACATGAAAAGGCTGTTCACATAAAACCGCTTGTCACTGGCGTCAACACAATTCTTTACTCTGCAGATATCGTCGCCCTCTCGGAATCTCACATCCTGATCGCCGCAGGAACTGTTTTTGGCGAGATCATAGTCTGGTCTTCCTATCTGAATGAGTCTGGAGGAGCAGTCGGCTCGATTCATCACTTCTTTACGGGCCATGAAGGGTCAATCTTTGGGGTCCGGGTATCTCCTTCCATTGCTTCTTTGCGCGGCAATCAGAGCGGACGACTACTGGCTAGTTGTAGTGATGATAGAACGATCAGAATCTGGGACATATCTGATTGCGAGCGTACGTCTCGCCATGATGCGCCGGCATACTCGACCGATGGCTTCGAGCTCCGGAGCACTGGCTTCGGTGCTGTAGCTCACGACAACGAGGTCGGTTCTGAGAAGACTATTGCCAGTGCTTTTGGGCATCTGGCTCGAATCTGGGGCGTCAACTTCCTCACTGTGGGAGAGGGCTTGGGCAAAGTGAATCTCATATCCCGTGGCGAAGATGCGACATGTATACTGTGGGATCTCACTTGGGACCCGTCGACGCAGACGCCTCAGTTCAAGCTGACTGAGGGCATTTCCATCCGCAAACATACTGGAAAGCATGTCTGGTCCTTGGAGGTGCGCAGCACTGATACGGAGGCGGTAATCTATACCGGCGGCGCTGATGGAGCCGTGAAGAATTTTACCATCAAGGCAGATGAGAAGGGATCTCTCGTTCTACCCAACTTACACAATCGCATCACGATGACAATTGATACTCAAAACCAAGAACCCCATGTGGAGACGTCGATCAAAGGCTTTGACTTTGTCTCGCAGAACGAGTTTGTTGCTGTGACGGCCCGTGGCGAAGTTCAGGTTGGCCATATCAAGGCCCAAAAACTCTCTAACCAGCATATCTTCAAGGAAACAATGTTCGTCGAAGATGACCTGCGGTCTTATTCTGTTGTTGGCAGCCTGCCGCAGGAAGGCATTGCCCTTGTGGGTAACGCAAGAGGTTTGATTCGGCTTTACAATCATAATGTCAAGTCCCTCATAAGGCTTGTCGAAGTCGGCCAAAGACCTTTGATATTGATCCTCCTCGACTATAAGCAGATTTCAGAATCAGAAGCAGACCTGGTATTCACGGTGTCGTATCCAAACTCCGAGACAGCAGAGCTTTTCATGGTATCGTTGTCAGGTGATGAACCGTCCGTGGACAAAATCACTGTAAATCTCCCGTACGGCTTCGGAATGGCATCTGCATCCCTGGTATGCGGTAAGCAGTACCTGGCACTGGGCTCCCTCACTGGCAACTTCGCTCTGTATAGGGTGGCAAAGACCGAGAGTATCGAACCTGTCATGCCCCCAAGCAAGCTACATGGTCGTGAAGGACTCAGTTACATCACGTCATTCTCGTCGCTATACGGCGAGGAAGAACAGCTGAATCCGTACTTTTTGACTTGTGGACGGAGTGGAACCTATGGCGTGCACAGGCTGGTTATCTCGGAGGGCCCGGAGCCTTCCATCTCTCTCCAAACTTTGCATCTGGCCTCTTTGGCTTTCAACTGCGAAATCCAGGGGGCTTATATTGATAAGGTATCTCAAGATCTTATGATCTACGGATTCCAACCCATGGACTTTGTGCTTTGGAACGAATCCGCGCAGACAGAGGTCGCTAGACACAAGTGTAACGGCGGCAGACGCGCCTGGGCTTTCCAACCTAACAACACAAAAGCCTGGGCTGGGTCGCTCCTATGGATCCAATCTGGTTTTAGTGGCATGGAAATACAGCCGGACGCCAGCCGGACCATGCGTTCCGGCAGCCACGGAAGAGAGGTGAAGGCCATGTGTGCGACTCAGCAGGGTGGACTGGGTCCATTGTTCGCGACGGGTTCGGAAGACACAAATGTGCGTATCTTTGCACCCCGCGATACACAGTCCGAGAACCGCTGGGGCGCGTTCAAATGTCTACGGCTCCTGCGAGAGCACCACACGGGTCTTCAGAGTGTGGGGTGGTCCACAAATGGACGGTTCCTTTTCACGAGCGGTGGTTACGAGCAGTTCTTCGTTTGGCGGACACACTCTATCCCTCGGTTTGGACTTGGGACAACATTGGATGGAGAATGTCCAAAGAGCGATCCCAACTCGGATCTTCGGACAACGAGCTTCGACGTATTGGAGGTAGAGGATGAGCAGGCAGAGGGATCGTTCTTAATCTGTCTGACTTATTCCAACTCTACCATCAAGGTAAGCAGCCCATGCAATTCTCTTGGGTCCCTGCTAACTGTGTAGATCTTCCATTACACCTCGTCAGCCGAAGGAGGCAGCTTTATCTTGCTGGCGAACGGCACCTACATGAGCAACTGCCTGACGCAAGCAAACTTCATGCTCAAGGGCTCGTCACTCAGCCTGATCACGGCTTCCACAGACGGCTACTTTACACTATGGGACCTGACCTCTGTCCTGGAGCCTTTCTACACGATAACATCACCTCTGCGCTTGAAGCAGACCATTCACGGAGCATCCATCATCCCATCAACCATTTCATGCGAGAATCGCTACCAGATCCACTGGAACAGCATCAAGAGCCTGGAGCTGGCCGATCTATCAGACACCTTGTCCTTGATTGTCGCAGCCGGCGACGACAACTCGATGACAGTCACTCTTCTGGACACGGGCATCGAGAACGGCGAGGCTACATGTACCATCGCAGTCCCCGACGCCCATGCAGCCTGCATAACGACGACGAAGATCCTCACGCAGCACGTGAACCCCAGTGACGGGACTGCCCGATTCGCCGTCGCATCTTCCGGTAACGACCACCAAGTCAAGATTTGGTGGATCGACATCGACATGAAGATGACCGGGCCGGACCGAATCCAGATCAGCAAGGCAGCGGAGCGATACAGTTCTGTGGCGGACATTTCGTCGTTGGATATCCTCCACGGCGCATCGGGGAGCCAGTTGGTGGTGTGTGGTACTGGCATGGAGATGTTGCGGTTGCAGTTGTAGCTACGTTAGAATGATTTGCATACATACTTGATTTTCTAGGGGGGTCGATAGCCTACCCTTTCTATATTAGTGCTCATCCTTCGCTGCTTTTCACTCACCGAGTAGATTTGAGCACGTCCAGAATAAGTTCTAAGCAGCCTAACGAGGCAACTACATGCTCGAAATGCGTAGACACGACTGATAGCGTGCCTTCAGTATATTTTCACTACTATTTGTACAAGCCAGTGCAGTTCAAAGACAGAATAGGTAAGCGGAAAGAAGGCTTAAAATCCAGCCGTCGCTAAGAAATGTATCTTCTTCCGCGGTGTCACGGACCTTATCATATTCATCACCGAGTCGGCGACTTTCTCGTCCGTGGACTCCACCAGTCCCTCCACAAGGACGATATTCTGAGTTGCCGCGGGCTCTCCAGATGCATAGCCCTGTATTCGCCTCGTGACCAGGGTTTAGGCCCTAGGATCTGCCGACATAAAGGGCAGCTGTTACTTTTGCCGGTTACGCTGGCGCGATTTACCCAGATGGCTATGCAGGGCGAGTGGAAATAATGGCCACATACTAGTTGGCGATACGGGGTATCTGGCCCGAGGTCTTCGAAGCAGAAGAGACACGTTTCGGGGAGGGGAACTGGGTTTAGTCAGACAAGGACGGGTGATAGGTAAGTTAGGGAGATACAAGTTATTGCACCGTGCATTGATTCCTCATGGTGGGTTCCATTCGCTGCGGCCATATCTAGATATCGCTTGCTTCAACGCTCAATCTATTGTTAGATCGATAGGAATGATGTCGTTAAATAAATAGAAGCGTATGCAGATCGTTTGCATTGACTGCTGGCGTGGTGCGAGGGATTTATACTTGGCGTCACCGATCAAGACAACAGGCCGTCAACCCATAACACACATCGACAGCTTCAATGAGTGTGGCAAGCTAACCCGGGTATTCCTCCCAGAATGATCCAATCTCGTCTCGTCTATCCAAAGACGAGCACCAATCGCTTCTTAGTACTTGATCGCGCAGTGACTAAAAGAAACCCCTTATGCCGTTTACCCATCCCTGACGTCAAGCATCTGCGGAGAAAGCTATCTTGCCAGAGCCATACATTTAGCCACTAGGAATGAGTGCAAATCCTATTAGAATGTACCAGGTTTTGCACACGTAAGGATCCGGTTCTGGACAGAATTCTGTCTATCTCATCTTTCTCCTAGGACGACTCTCCGGGGCTGAAATTGCGCCACTGCCGTTTTCCGCGATGTTCGTTAGCCACTCCGGTTACAGTCTGTCAATTAGAAGTTGCTACAGGAAGGGGGAGGGGGGGGGAGAAGGGCCTAAGGGTGATGCGACTACTGTAGGCGGTTGCTGGCGGTCCTTCTGTCAGCTACATTAATGATCTTGGGCGGCTTAGTACTTTGTGGTGGGGGGAGAAAGGGTAATAGTGTGTTGTGAATCATGTTGTTGCTCTAGGAGTAAGGATACATCGTCGTCAAATATACATCAGAATATGCAAAATGCTTACATCTCAACAAGGCCTTCTAAAAACCGAACAAATTGCAGTCCTCATCGTAGCCCCAGTCCTTCAGCGCAGGAAGCGTCGCCTTTTGAATCATGGTAGGTGGCCCGCAGAGAAGTGCTACATTCTTATCACAGGGCTCAAAGGCGTGTTTTTTGATAATATCCTCATTAACATGGCCACTGAGGCCCTTCCAGTCATGGCTGGGATGTGAAAGCACGTGCACGATTTCAAACTTCCCTTCCGAGTTCTTCGAGAACTCGTCAAGTTTTTCCTTCATCAGGATATCACCTTCGGACTTGTTCGCGTCGATGACCTTTATCTTTGTTTTATCTTGCTTGTTCCCCAGGATCCGTGCGATGATCTGGTACCCTGGTGTCACGCCGGATCCGCCGACGATCAGAGACACATTCTCAAAGGAGTATTCTTTATCATCAACCGCAAATGTACCGTGGCCCAGATACCGGATTGCACCCGAGGGGCCTTTGACTTCGATTTCTTCGCCTTCGCGCAGACAGTCAAGGATGTTGCCCATCGTACCACCCGGTTGGTCTTGATCAGGAAAATACGTTTTGACAACTAAATCAAAGGTACCGTCGTCCTCTTCTTCTAAAATCGGCCGGACTGGAGTGTACGGCCGCACAACAAGCCGGTCCTCGAAATGGAAACCCACTTGCACATGCTGTCCGGTTTCAAGCCCGAGTTTCTTGGCTGGTGGTGGGAGGCTGAAAGTGTACTGTTGCGTGTCGTCGGAGAGGCGTTTCTTTTTGACCAATTTTGCTTGGGTCCATCTAAGGAAGTTATTATATTTGCTAGGAAATTCGAGAGGGAACAGCACTCACTTGTGTTTGTCCAGAGCTATCTGCGGGTTTTTCTCGCCTCCCTGTGCGTTTTCCTTCTCCTTTTGCTCTGCCTCCCGTTTCATGTGGTTCATGGCCCTTTCGGTTACCTTTCCGAGGATGCATTCTGTACCATCATTAGCAGCCAAGAACCATACTCGGTGGAACCCAGGTAGGCAAAGAAGTGCTTACTGACCCTTCAACTTCCCCTGCGCGTAATTATCATGGATACTCGTAAACTCATTCGTCGTATCCATATGTACCGCACCGGCATGCGCCATGATCGGTCCCTTGCCCCCAGGGTGCCAACTCAGTACACTAGTCGCATCGTACACGTTGCCGTCAACAACGATCCAACAGTCATCTTCCGTATAATGTTTCTCGATTTCCTGGCGGGTGAATTGCTTCCCGGGTGCCGATGCTTTGCGTTTCACCTCTTCGATAGTTTCTTGAGTAGACGGTTTCATCCACCCGTTCATGCCGTTGGCGGCCTCGACGGGGTGTCGAAATAACAGGTAGGCTTCTCCGTCATCGGGGTTTTCGCAGACTTCGGGGTGGACTTTGTACCAGCAGTTGTTCATCATTCTGATCGAGGAGGTCAGTTAGCAGGTAACCTGAATAATGGGACCAAGGTTGTCGCTTGCCCTTCAATGTTCCAGATAGGTTCTAGAGGCTGCGTGCTTCTATGTTCGTCAGTGGCGCGGACGATGATGCTTTCTGCACGAATGAGCTTGCTGATGTCCAGGTCGATGTGCCAGTGCAGCCAGGTCCAGAACTTCCGACCGTGACGGATCGGAGATTCAGGGAACTAGGAGCATGATGATCAGCACTTGGTAACAAGGCACACGGACTGAATACTCATGAGCAAGTATACTTACCTTCCGCACACAGTAAAGCCAGTCATTCCCACCATTTAAACTAATCTCCACACGCGAAATCTCGTTCCCGTTCCCGCTATAGGCGAACCCCTCGACTCTGTAAATCTTGCCTTTTTTCACATTAACCAGGTTAATCTGTTCACCTTGGGCTGGGCGTACAATGATCGAGTTCAGCATCTGCGCGTTACAAAGCGTACTCGGATGATGGTACATGATCTGCGCAGTCTCCGACTCAGCATCTGTCACGAAGCTGGGAAGCTGCCGGTTATCATAGATATAGTAATAATTATCATTCTCATAGTCTGTCACCCAGACTTTTGTTAACCACTTGACAGACCGCGCTCCTACCCAGCCGGGGACCATCAGACGTAGTGGATAGCCGTGATCCGGGGGGATTGGATGATCATTCATTTGGTAGGCAAGTATCACGTCGTTTACCGGCTCGATGACATATTCAAGGGGCATACAGGTGGTGTACTTGCCCTTGCTGAGCGTATCAGCGCCTTCAAAGTTGACCCAAAAACGCTTGTGGGAGGCTTTCTCCATTAAATCTTGAATGTCTGCTTTGAGTAAGACGTCGCGGAGTAAGACCCCCTTCCAGTAGGCGCATCCGCTCGCAGCAGCAGTGTAGTTGAAGCCCTTTGTCTTGCGGATCATATTCAGCTCCTTCCTGCGGTTCCCGTCGCAGGCGATGAAAATCGGTATATTAATGCTGGGAAAGCTATTCTTCAGCTCCTCCATTCCAAAGATTAATGTCTTACCAGCGGTTATTTCAACCTTGTGGTTTTCCCAGAGGAGGTGCGGGACAGCGCCGTGGTTTCGAACGTAGTGAATTGCTGATGGCGTAATGAATCCAGCCTCAAACAGGGTAGTCAGTTCGACCTCTGCATTCAGCGGATGCTTCCCGGTAAGCCGAATTAGTTTATCGCTGCGCGGGATCCAGCTGTCAGGCGAGAACTGGTCCGCCTCATCTATTTGCTGTGGAAGATCTTCGTCGGCAAGCGGAGAGCTGCCCTTGCCATCATTCTTCCTCATCAGGCACATGTACTTCTGCTCATATTGGAGACACTGCAGCAGCGCCTCCTCTTCTGTTGAGCGCTTCGGTTTCTTATTCTCCTCCTGTGCGTCATCTTTTTGCTCGTGGTCCTGTTGATCGTCTTGCTTGTCTTGGCCGTTGCCGCCATCACCATTCTTCTTCTTCTTCTGCTTGGTCTTCTTCTCTTCTTCCTTCATTTTGTTCTCCTCTTCCTCCTTTTCCTTCTTCTTTTTCTCCGCCTCCTCCCTCTTCTTCTGATTGATCGGCCATGGCTGTCCCTGTTTGATAAAATCCTCTGTCGTATGCAAAACATACCGCCAGAACTTGGGATGTACCCGTGGTTTCTGCAGATGAAAGTCCTACAAGGTCTCAGTTAGTCCAGCCTCCACTTGCCCAACGACCGTGTCCCATCCCGTTGAATCTCCCTCTCATTCGGGAAAGAATCAAAGAGAACATACAATCTGCTTCTCCATAATATCCCTCACCGTAACCAGCTCCCCCTTTTTGACCTTTTCGCGCAGTTCATTGAGCGTCTCCTCCGCGACTTCCTCTAGATCCTTTTGCGTCGTCTCGTCCCCGCTGTGCGTTATCCCCATGAATCGCGCATCGCGACCGCGGGTTCCGACGCGGTGGCTGTGCGTCTGCGTCCAGTCAGGCTCATGGAGGATACTGAGCGCCGAGGCGCCTTGTTGATTTTCTGGCGGCATGGTTTAAGTTGACAAAGATGGATTCAACTAGTATGCCTGCATTCCAGCCTGTACCCTGCGTTCATTGCAGTTCGAGCGACACTGACAGGGTTGGGGGAAAACATCACGGCAAAGCTTATTTATTTGTCTGCGGGCCTGCCAGATCATCCGGAGAATCATCCGGAGAAACGCAAACTGCTCCTGGGATAGGGTTTCCACGGAAGGCGGCTCTCGTCATAGTTACGAGAAATACAAGCAATCTGCGCCCGACCTGATAGGCTATAGGGAAAATGAAAGACTGTGTAGGTAAGTACTAGGTTGGTAATTGCTACGCCTTACTATTGAACGAAACCAGGCAGCCGGAATAGCCGGTCGCGTTTCGTCTCCGGCGAGGGATGATGTCAGGTTAAGTTATCCTTGAGTTCACTGCAAACCCGACACGAGAACAGTGTTACATACCCTCGTTCCATACACACTATGTAGCGGAAAGGATCTCTAGACCCCCCAGCTGCTAGCCACACCGTTGACAACCCTCCTAATTCCCATTGTTTCTTGCTATCCCTGATGAAGTCTTCTTGTCTAGGCTTAATATCAAGATGCCTGCCAAGTCACCATTCGTAAGAATAACCATCTGAAATGCAAGGCAAAGTCATCGGCAAACCAGACTCCGACCTTGCTGCCGCTCTGGATGTTCCCAGTGACCCATGATATTTCTCAACAGTCGACCAAGGCTGGCATGTACTGGTCTCCTTTTCCGTACCTCTCCCAAGCATATCGGTCTTTAACACAGACTGCTTAACCGACGACCTTCTCCAGCCCTGCATTTTGTTACCCAAAGTCTGGTCCGAACTCAGCATCGTTCCCTTTCCGCTCGGTGATGACTTGCCTAACGATGACTTCCAGTATGGCACCCTCATGGACATCCTCGTGACTTCTTTGTCCGCGGATAACATCATTCTGGATGCAGCACCTCTCATAAATGTCATTGTCTAATTTGACCGCTTCCACAATTACGTGTTATCGATCTTTCAGGGTTCCCATTCTTGCCGCCTGGTCTGGCTCTTTTCACTGCCTGTATGTTTCCCTCAATGTGCCCATAGAAGAATTTTGTACGGACGCCGTATTAGTTATGTTCGCCGAAAGATTTATTGAGACATAACATTATCAATGACAACCAGAACGGGAAGAAAGGAAGGCTACGATAAGCTTCGCACTGACTTATAGGCGATTAAAACCATAGTATGGTAGCAACGGCGAAAAGTCAGATCCACCCCTCTGTGGCGATTGACTTTGATTATATCGTATATATACGTTCTTCCATTATTAACTTGGCTCTTGTCTCTAGAGACGTTATCAGGAATATCCACCGCTTGTTGCGGTCAAGTAAATAAACTTTCAGAGGCCAAACACATTCTCGTCGCGCACATATCCCCAATCTGTCACTTGTCAGTAAAGCATTTAGGTGCCAAAGAAAGACGGGAATTACCATCAAGGGCAGGCAACACTGCCTTTTCAATCATCGTTGGGGGACCGCACAGAATGGCCACATTTTCATCAGAAGGTTCAAACATGTGTTTCCGAAGGATACTCTCGTTGACGTGTCCTGAAAGTCCATGCCAATTTTCGTCTGGTTTCGTGATAACGTGAGCTATCTCCAGCTGGCTGGCACTGTCTTTTACGAATTTATCCAGTTGGTCGTGTAAGAGAATATCGCTTGTTGTCTTGTTCGCATCGATGACGCGAATCTTGGTCTTGTCTCCGTCTGTGAGAAGTATACGGGCTATCAGGGCATATGCAGGGGTGATGCCACTGCCTCCAATCACTAGCGATACCCGTTTGAATTTTTTCTTCTCTCCTGCGATGGTGAAGTTGCCGTATCCTTCATAAACAAGATCCCCCGTCGGACCTCGGATGTCAACCTCTTCTCCCAACGGTAGACAGTCTAAAACGTTCGACATCGCACCTCCTGGTTGGTCATCATTGGGGAAATAAGTCTTGATGGTCAATGTGAAAGCCCCCTTGCCGTCTCGAACTTGACTAACGAAATGAGACTTTTCGTTGTCCTGATAGCCGTTTGAAGACGACGATGCGAGAGGGAGAAGCGGCTGAGTTGGCGTATACGGTCGTATGAGCATTCGGTCCTTCATGTGAAAGGCTACTTCGATGTGCTGGCAAGCACCAATGCCTAGAGTAGGTTTCCCCTCGGGCAACTTAAACGTATATTCGCGGGTGTCTCTGCTGATGGCCTTGCGGTCGAGCAATTTGACAGGGACCCACCGATGTCTCTGCAATGCCTGATCATTGGGCTGCGCAGTTTGCTGTTTTTCCTTCTTGGCTTGCTCTGCATTCTTCTCGATGTACTTCATCGCCTTTTCTGTCACCACGCCCAGAATGCACTCTATAGTTATATTAGTCACTGGCCTCCAGAAACCACTGTATAAAGGTCCTACCTTGGAGCTTCTCTGCAGCGTAGTCATCATGTATGCTTGCATACTCTTCACTGGTCTCATAATGAACTTTGCCTGCATGTGCAAGGATGGGTGCTTTCCCGCCTGGATGCCAGGACAAAACCCCCGTTGCGTCATAAACTTTGCCGTCTACGACGATCCAGCAATCATCTTCACTGTGGTGCTTCTCAATTTCCTCGCGCGTAAACTGCTTTTGCGGGGCAGCCGCGCTCTGTTTGGCTGCCTGTACCTGCACATCAACACTGGGCTTCATCCAGCCCCCTTCCCCTGTACCTGGCTCCACAGGGTGACGGAAAAGAACGGATGCTGCGCCTGATTGATTATCGCCGTCATCATAAATCAATTCCGGCTTTACCACATAGCGGCAGCTATTCAAAGTTCCTGAAATATTCCACCGCGGCTGCTCCGGCTGTGTATTATGCGCCCCATCGACGCATGCAACGGTGATGCTCTCCGCTTGTGCTAGCTGGAGGATTTCGACATCAACGTGCCAATGTACCCAAGCCCAGAATTTATTACCGTGACGTATAGGACGGTCAGGGAATTCGCGGATGCAGTAGAGCCAGCTCTTACCATTATTTAGAGATATCTCAACTCGACGGACCGGATGGCCACTGCCGCTGTAGGCGAATCCTGCAATGCGGTACGTCTTCCCTTTCCGAGCATTACTTACTGAGATCTTCTCCCCTTGAGCGGGCCTAGCAATAACTGAGTTAAGAGTCTGTTCATAGCAGGCAGTATCCGGGTGAGTGAAAAACAACTTGGCGAGTTGGCTTTCTGTATCAGTGACAGAACTAGGCAACATCCGGTTGTCGTGGAGATGATAGTATGAGTTGTTTTCTTTATTACTGGTCCAGATCTTGCTCAGCCATTTCACACAGCGTCCTCCTACATAACCTGGGATCATAACGCGGACTGGATACCCATGGTCAGGTGGCAGGGGACGGTCATTCATTTCATATGCAAGAATCACATCATTTCTAGGGTCCATGACATGGTCGAATGGAATGGATGTAGCATATTTTGCTTCGTTTGGCTCATCGGCTCCTTCAAAATGAATCCAATACCGTTGATTATCCTGGTCAGGCATTCGCTCGGGCACCCCAGCAGCAAGGAGAACATCCCGGAGCAGTGGGCCTTTCCAGTAGGCACAGCTCACCCCCCCAGGGCCCCAGTTGAACCCTGTTGTACGCTTGATCATATTCAATTCTTTCCGCCGAGTGTTATCACAGGCCAGAAGGATGGGGATATTGATAGCTTTGAAGTTCTTCGTCAACTCATCCATGCCAAGCTTCACCCGGCCGCCTTCTATGTCTATTTCATGAAATTCCCAGACCAATTTTGGGACTGGGCCGTGGTTCCGCACATAATGCAGCTCATTTGGGGTTACGAGACCGGCGTTAAAGAGCTTTGACAGTTGCGGCTCGGCGTTCAGTGGCAGCTTTCCAGTCAGCCGGACGAGGTCAGGAGATCGAGGCACCCAGTTATCCGCGGTAAACTGATCTGCTTCGTCAATGGTGATATACGGGTTCTCGGGCGCTGATGATCTTCCTTGCCCATTATTCTGCTTTAGGTTTTCTATAACCGCCTCCTCGTGCCGGACTGCTCGGAGGAGTGAGATCTCCTCTAGGCTAAGTTCGTTTTCGGATTTCTCTTCGCTTTCGTCCCCATCGGCCACTGACTTTTCAGTCTCCTGCTCTGGCGTTGCTTTCTGGGTATCTTTTTCTTCATTTTTACCTTCGTCATGCTGCTCTTCCTGATTCACTTGTTTGTCCTCGTCGTCCTTTCTCCCCTCCTGCTCCGTCTTCTGTTGCTCTTCCCTCTGACTTTCTTCTTCTTTCTGCCGCCGACGAACATTCGTCGGCCACTCCTGGCCCAATTTAACCCATTCCTCAGTATATTCGGGCACATATCGCCATCCGAAAGGTCGTTTCTCGGGATGCCGAAGATGGAATGCCTACGCATTAGCCATTAGTATAACATGACACTATCAAAAATGCGGCTCGCTCAATGGCGCTTGCTATCTTTGTATACAAGAAACACACATACCTCCCTATTTTTCTGGTCCTCGATCAGATCACGAAAATTGACAAGCTTCCCCTTCTCGATTTCTCGTTTTAGGTCGCCGATCTGCTCGCGAGCCTCCCGAACCTCCTCAGGGTTTTCCGCCAGTTCATCGCCAATGTGGGTTATCCCTGCATATCTGCCGCTGGCGTTACGATAACCCAGCCGGTGTTCACGAGAATGAAGCTCCCAGTCCGGTTCATTCTCGATCTCCGCCCGTGATGAGCCGGGGTGCTGGGCCACTTGGTAAACTTGCGTATTGCCGGGCATGGTCTCACTGCGGCTTCAAAAGCGGCAACACTATTACTTAGTTTGGTACCCGATGAACTCCAGCTGCAATTGCTGGGCCTTCGAGGCAAACGAGGGAGGTTTATGCAAAAGGGTCGAAACATGGCTTTCAGCTTTGGTCAATGTTTGGGTCCTACCGTGCTGAGGCCTTGTGATTCAAGAATGATTCGATACAATGACATCTCCGCGGAGATCTGTGATATCCTCGGTGGAAGATATGACGCACAAACACCTATGACATTAGCCCCCTGATGGCGAAAAGCCCTCGGTGACTTGGTTAATTTCAAAACCTTAAATCAGGTTTCTTTTCCCCACTGGCCAATATTGAACCTAGGATTGCACCTCGTAGAAGCATACATCATATTAACTACCTAGAGATCTATTCGCCTATGATATTCATTCCATTACATAACCCAGCTGACATGGCACCATCAAAATACCACAGGAAGTCGTAGAACCCCAACATTTTGCGTTGGCGAAGTATATTCCAGTTCAGAAGGCTCAATCGCCAGCCGTAGGTTCGGAAGCTTGCGGAATAGGGAGCCTGTTGCAGGCAAAACACCACTTAGCCTTACAACACAATTGCCGACGCACAGCAAGAAAACAGGGATGATTATCTTACTGAAGATGGCCTGCAACTCCATCCGGGAGAGCCACTGCCCCTGACAGTTATGCGGGCCATGCCCGAATGCCAGGTTTTGATGCGGGTCAACTTGACGGTGGATGCTGAACTTGTCTGCATCTGGGTACACCCTTTCATCGCGGTTTGCGGATCGCACGGAGCCGATGACCCCGGAACCCGATTTGATTTTCTAACAACTGTCAGAAGATCAAGTAATGAATAATGGGTCCTAGTCATTACCTTCCCACCAAGCGTGATATCAGTTGTTGTGACACGTCTGCTATTTAGAGCAGATGGAGTATGATATCTCAAGATCTCCTCAACAACTCGCCCCGCTAGTTCAGGATTCTCCTTGAGCTCCTCGAGCTGATCCTGGTGTTGAAGCAAAGTAATAACGCCCAGGACAATGGAACTTTGAATCGCCGAATTCCCAGCCACGAAGATCATATAGACAAGATTGATAAGGTCGTCTCGGTCGAGGTTCGCTTGTCTATACTCGTCCACCACGAGCTTGCTAAGCAGGTCATCTTGTGGCCTGCGAGGTTTCTCTATTCGCGCATCAATCAATTGGCTAATGTATTCGTGCAAGTCTGTATGGCCAGACTCAGACGCCGATCCGCTTGTGCCGCCGAGCGCGGAGCTCGACTGGATAAGCTCATTGGCTTCCTTTTCGGAGACTTTCAGAATGGACAGTAAGATAACCTTTGGGTTAACTACTGTGGCAAGCTCTTTGACGAGGTCGATAGGGCCATTGTTACAGCCTCGTTCTTTGATTGAGTCGATCAACGAGTCCACGACTTCCTGAACCTGTGGTTTGACTGCTTCAGTCGCTTCCTGGGTGAAAAAGCTCTCCGTCATAGCTCTAGAATAGTTCTTAGACCGTTATTATTCGTGACACTGAGAAGCCTCTTTCATACCTGTGCCTCGCGTGTTTCGGATCATCCATGTGGACGAACGTTGGCCTGACCCCGTCTTTCTTCGTACCACTATGAATCTCGGGGTATCCATCACGATTGTATCGGTCCTGCTCAGCTGGTTAGGCTGAAGGTTCAATGATTCTTAACGCAGCAGGGAAGGGATGGGAAAGCATTTACATTGGAGAATTTATCACTGCTCAACATCTCACGAACCTCTTTGTCCCTAGTAACGATCCACGCTGGTCTCCCATCGAAAAGCTGGACCCTTTCAGTGGGACCCTGATGTCTAAGCTCTGCTAATTCAGCGGGCGGATCATATGATTTTGGAGGACGAGCAAAGGGATACATTGGTAAGTCTTCGGGGAAATTGTAAGCTTGCGATGGTTTGGGGGACAGCATAACCACCATAGGGCCTAGGCTTACCGGAAGTGTTGGCTTGGGACATTGCGGAAGATTGTACAATGATACGTGTGAATATTCCAGCTCTCGTAATGGTGCAGAGGTTGAGAATCGCTTGGTTGCTTTCAGAGAGAGTCGCAAGATCTATATAAGCAATACTTTCTGGAGCCAGAAAAGTCGAGGCGGAGTCGATGATCTCACAGGGGCAAACCACTATTACGTTACGTCCCAATCGGCGAGGCTGTCTTTTCCGTGCCAAAGACGGCCGGCAAATAACAGTCAGTACAAATTATACGTGAACGATGATAAAGCAAATGTCATAACACGCAATATGGTTGAAACAAGGAATCATGGCTACTCAAACTGAAAAGCAACCCCAGAAATCAAGGCAGAGGCCATGGTAGCACATGGGTTGTCATAAATTCATCAGCAATAAACCAGCATTATAAGGGCGAAAGTCATGCACGGTGATGTTATACTATCAGAAGCTTTGCTCCATTTATACAGTATCAAAGTGATCGTGATGCCGGATGTGACGTATTCGAGCAACTAAGAAATGCCGTCAACCTTCTGGGGGCAAACTCAAGTCGCTGTCTTCGCGTCGAGTCCGAAGCCTATTGCCGCGGAATTCTCGTTATGTACAGATGCTGTTGGAAGTCGGCCATATACCATAATACCCCAGCTGCGGATGGCGTACAACCGCCTGAAGTCATTAATCCACTGTAACAGTCTGTTGCAGTATTTTCGGAGGTATTCCTGTTCCACACGACTCTGAAGAAGTCATCCACACAAAATCAAGAAGCAGATGGTGACTGGGCCTTGATTGGCGATTGTGAACTGGCACTGAGAACGCAGATGTGGCAATATCCTCTTAGCCTACAGTAGAACACAGAGCATTGTTTATATGCCCGCACAGAAGCTTGTATAGATGGTACCAGAACGTTTCTGAAGGGATGTCTCACATGTATTGAAGTATCTACTGATAAAACAGACATTATGTGCGGCTTCGATCCCCCAGCTAATTGCTGTTCATTTGACAGTTGGCCGATGTACTTGGATCCAGTGTAGTTCACCATCAGTCACTTACTGCGGTCTGAATGCTCCTGCAATCCGCTGGTCGAAGGAAAGAACGGATACAACACCGAGTGCCCGCCATCATGAATCTAAGATGAGGTACTGGTTTTTTGGTACATGGCCAATCACGCAGGGCCAAACCGTAGCCTTTCTCGAAAATATTGCTGTCTGGGGATTGTCCTAGTCCTCACCAAGCTGACCACTCGGAGATGAGAGTAGCTTACTTGTGTGTACTACATGCCAGCCCAATCATACAAGCCCCCATGTTCTTCGAGGGACTAAGCAAGCCACCCGGAGCCACCCCGAGACACCCCGTAGCCAAAACGGAATAGTCTGATCGACCAATGCTTGATCGATACCTTCACGATGTTCTTCTCGCTCCGATTTGCCATGTGCAGGATACAAGCAAGCAAGCATTGCACGATTGCTACCCCGCAACACCAGGGATGTGAGGACGGGGAAATCTCATTCCATCAACCGCAATTCAGGTCTGATCGCATGTCGGCTAAATGGAGTTTACAACATTTATTATTAAATCTATTTTACTTCAAGAGTGATTGCATTCAGGTTTAGAATGGGTGTGATACATACCCCTCTTTTAGTAGTGATATATATAGCGTCCTTAGGGGATCAGCACGGCTTGGTGCTTGACAGATCTCTACATAGCTAGAAATTTCATTGAACCTACACTTCATACTGCAATCACAGCAATAAACCAACCATGAAACTCCAATCCTCCTGGCTCCTCGCCAGCATAACCATGACTGGTATCCCCACAGTCACAGCCAGACCATGGACCCAACGACCAAGAGCAGAAAACTCAACCACGAATCCCACCTACTTCTTCACTTTGTATGTCCCCATTCCACCACCCTAAACTCCACACAAATAATATAGTACTAAAGCATAACTCAGCGGAGACTCCTACTCCCAAACCGGCTTCAGCGCCTCGGGCACCCAACCATCCGCCTCCAATCCCATGGGCAACCCAGACCTAGGTGCGCCCAACCATTCCCCTCTACACCCCCAACCCACATAACTAATAATATCGATGATGAAGGAATCGGCACCACAACCAACGGCCCCAACTGGATCGGCTACCTAACCACAACCGAAAACGCCTCCTTAGTGCTTTCCTACAACCTCGCCGCGGGCGGTGCCACAATCGACAATGCCCTGGTTCCTGCATACCCGGGTGACCTTGCATCACAGTTCCGGCTATTCGAGGATGTGTATGCTGATAAGCCGGCCTCGGCACCCTGGAGTGCAGAGGATGCGGTATTTGGGGTGTGGATTGGGATTAATGAGTATATTCTTCCTCCTCCTCCTCCTCCTCCTCCTCCTCCTCCTCCTCTTCTTCTTCATTCCCCGGATTGTCCATATACGGGAGGGGGGTGTTAGTAGGTGTATATGCTAATGGGATGTGTGTTCTGGGGGAATATAGTATAGGAAACGCGTATTACTCTACCGATGCGGAGACATACACACCCAAGTTAATCTCCAGATTGGAAAGTCTAGTGGAAGAGGTATACAAGAACGGGGGCAGGAAATTCCTGTTCCTGAATGTGCCGCCGACGAGTCGCAGTCCGTTGTTTTTGGAGCAGGGAGAGGAGGTGGTGAAGCAGCATGCGGAGTATTTGAGTGTTTATAATGAGAATTTGGAGGGAATGGTGGATGATTTTACTAAGAAGAAGGGAGATGTAAGTTTTTTCTACTGTTCCCTTTGTTTTTCTGTCTTGGGTTACTTGTGTGTTTATGTGGGTGGGCTTGAGGGCAAGCTAATCGATGAATTGGGACAGGTAACGACTGTCTTGTATGACTCGTGGTCATTCATGACGAAGATCCTGGATGATCCGACAGCGTATGGATTCCCCGATGCGACGTGTATCAATGATGATGGGACGTCGTGTATCTGGTGGAATAATTATCATCCCGGGATGAAGTATCATCTTTTGCAGGCTGAGGATATGAAGCCGAAGTTGAGGAAGTTGGGAGGGTGGTAGTTACTTTACTTAGTAGTACTAGTAAATAGTATGATGATATTGGGAGAATATTATGTGACGTTTAGGATGGCTTATATATTACTAGTATGTTATTAAATTTGAATGTTGATGCATCAGGTATATATATTTATGAAGTACTGCCCTACGGGTATTTTGGCTGAATTGCATCGTAAATATTAGCATCGCACTGACATGAAAGCTCCACCTATGCACTAATTCCGTATTCTTCTTATATGTAAATCCTTCTTGTCCCGTCACGGACCTCATTTCCGCATCACTTTCATGACCCTGACCCTGCCAAGGCGGATCATTGACCGAGCTTAGTCCCTGTCTTCGACTTTATCCGCCCTGTAGGCATTAATGATACCTGCAGGTGTGAAGATCTGCAACGTCTTCTGTCTGAATACCTGTTTACTCTCTACATTCGGATGTTTCGCTTTAATGGACCGATGGATGTAGATTTCTGGCTAAGTTACGTTACCTCCGTGCTGGATTAGGATAGTTGGGAGGAGGGGAAGATATAAAGGTTGCTTATTGTCTTGTCCTAAATAGCGATAGTAACTGTAGATTTCGTTGATCGAGCAGTCGTAGCGATGAAGTTTCAGAGCACTTTGCTTCTTGCCGCCGCGGCTGGTTCCGCGTTGGCTGTGCCTCATGGCTCCGGACATAAGAAGAGGGCGTCTGTGTTTGAATGTAAGGGCTCATTTGCCTGATTGTTGCTAAGCTGACAGAAAAGGGTTCGGATCGAACGAGTCTGGTGCTGAATTTGGGACCAATATCCCAGGCGTCTGGGTAAGTATCCCCGCCAAAGTGTAGGCGTATGCTGATGTCGCAGGGAACCGACTACATCTTCCCCGACCCCTCGACCATCTCTACGTTGATTGGCAAGGGAATGAACTTCTTCCGCGTCCAGTTCATGATGGAGAGGTTGCTTCCTGACTCGATGACTGGTTCATACGACGAGGAGTATCTGGCCAACTTGACGACTGTAAGATGACTCCCACTTGGTGTTGACTTAATGCTGACGAGTCAGGTGGTGAAAGCGGTCACGGATGGAGGCGCGCATGCGCTCATCGACCCTCATAACTATGGCAGATAGTAAGTATGCAGTACCAGAGGGTGACACTTGCTAACCAAACAGCAACGGGGAGATCATCTCCAGTACATCGGATTTCCAGACTTTCTGGCAGAATCTGGCGGGCCAGTACAAAGATAACGACTTGGTCATGTTTGATACCAGTAAGTGCCCACCAAGCCATTGAGGACCGTGCTGACTGACAATGCAGACAACGAATACTACGACATGGACCAGGATCTCGTGCTGAATCTCAACCAAGCAGCCATTAACGGCATCCGCGCTGCAGGTGCAAGCCAGTACATTTTCGTCGAAGGCAACTCCTGGACCGGAGCTTGGACATGGGTCGATGTCAACGACAATATGAAGAATTTGACCGACCCAGAAGACAAGATCGTCTATGAAATGCACCAGTACCTAGACTCCGACGGTTCCGGCACTTCGGAGACCTGTGTCTCCGGGACAATCGGAAAGGAGCGGATCACTGATGCTACACAGTGGCTCAAGGACAATAAGAAGGTCGGCTTCATCGGCGAATATGCCGGGGGGTCCAATGATGTGTGTCGGAGTGCCGTGTCCGGGATGCTAGAGTACATGGCGAACAACACCGACGTATGGAAGGGTGCGTCGTGGTGGGCAGCCGGGCCATGGTGGGGAGACTACATTTTCAGCCTGGAGCCCCCAGATGGAACTGCTTACACGGGTATGCTGGATATCCTGGAGACGTATCTCTGAGAACTGGGTGGGGTCGCAGATGCGGTGCGTCGGAGAACTATACGGAGTTTCTTATCAGAGTGGACGGTGGTGGTACAGAGAGGCGTACTAGAATGAATTAGTGGCAGCGCACTGACTGACGTCACAAGACATTGCTTTTTTTGTGAAGCTCCATCTTTGTGCATTCTGTTGAGTGCTACCTGTAGGCAGTTTGTTGCTGAAATAGTTGCACGTTGTACTCCGTAACGGCACTTGGTGGATTCTTATCAACGATCATCGAGTATAGCCCAACGAATTGCGTGGGATGTAGAGATCTGACGACCCACTGGTCGTAGGATATACTTAGCTCTCCTCATCAGCCTTATCGGATAAATCATGTTTGTGAACACCGCGATGTCGTTGGAATGCACGAGAAAGCAGAGAATGCAGGTATGGAATTGGATGCAGTGATGGGATGGACAAGGCCGATGGAGGAACCATGGATGGAAGACGGGCCCGCCAAGACGCTCAACGTAAGCCCGGGTTAATAGTCTGGTCGATCGGAGAGTCAATCCCGGCACTTTTCCCGTCTGCCGCGACGGTTGGGAATTTGAAACAGCAGATTTGCTTCTTTTCATAGGTGGTAATGAGGTCATGACTTGACTAGTTGGTTTGATTACGCCAGTTGCCTTGCTAAGAATACTCCGTGGTGATGATCCATCAATCACTGTCTACATTATTCACTGGGCACTTCATCGGACTGTCCCTGAGGCGGTACCATGGGACGGACAGCAGGGAATACGGCGACGCAGAAGAAACTTCCGGGGATGTCGTGCATACCAATAAAAGTATCAATATTGACCGCGTATTGCCAAGCTCAGAATGATGAAGCCTAGTCAGTTGAGGTTCCGTGGTTGGTGGGCTGAGGGTGAGACACACTCATCCAGAGATCCAGGCTCACAGGAAATCTTGGGATGGTTAAGCAGATTCCCGATGGTGACGATCGCTACACAGTACGGTGGCTCTTTGGTCCACCGTGTATCAGATAGGTTGATTTAAGTGATACGATCCAGCTTGACCCGGTCGACATAGATTGCGCAGGACTACTCAGTAAATAGAGAGAATTCCAGTGTGTATAACTTGCTAAAATTGAATACATCAACCGACACCCTGCATACTTTGGAGAACATTGGGAAACAAGGTTACTACTAGTCTACTACACTATAATAATGAGGAAGAGGACGCGTATTACCCCAGCCACTTCTGACGTGGCGGTAGGGCTGGTGAGTCTCCGCCACGAGGGTCACCTTTCCTCGATGGGGATTAGTCCCTTGCAGTGTGGTGTGCAATGTCAACAGAATCGACAGATAATTTCTATCTGATTATTCCTGGTTATTACTCGGCCAGGGCCCTTAAGGGCTCCACCATCAACCGTGCTGGATCCCGCGTTTGGGTTGCGGTGGAAACTCGCTCGAATTTATTATAGAAACAAGCGTGGCGTAGTCCGTCATGCGTCCCCGTGATTGGCCCGCTGATCAACCAAACTCTCTCGCATTTGACTGCGCCTCCCCAATAACTAAATTCAAAAGCAGTAATAACAATCCGGTTGACGGGAATCTCTTGTTGATCCCCCCCCAGCAAGCCTCTTTTATAAAATCATCCTGTCCCAGCCTTTTCTCATCTTTTCATCTCACACATTTTTCAACCACCCTTCACCCAAATACACACGTTCAGTGTCCTACTTCTATCTACTTAACCACCTGTCTGGACCTGAAATCAAATCTAACTCCCTCCGATAAGCAAGGGAAAAAACAACAACCCGCATACATCCCCACGTCAACCGTCCACATCAACCGTCACCATGGGTAAAGGCGGTCGCATTGTCTGCATCTTCACTCCATATGTCCTCACCATCGCCTCCTTAATATGCATCATCATGGTGGGCCTGGGCTGCACAAAATCCAGCTCCAGCACGCTAAATGATCTCTACTTCTTCAGAGTATGTCTTGCTTACCTTTCACGCATCCCCACTCAAATGTCCGATCGTACTGACTCCACTCCAGGCCAACCTCAAGAACATTACCTCCGAAGCCTCCTCCACCGCATCAACAGTATCCTCCGTCGTGAGCGACCTGACCGGTGTTTCGGATGGCGATCTTTCCGCTGCGCTCGAGGAAATCGAAGAACAATACAACATCGAGGACTTCTATGCCATTGGTCTCTGGGGCTACTGTGAAGGAAACATCACCTCCAACAACAGCTATCAAACCAACAACTGCTCCAAGCCCGAGGCCGAGTTCTGGTTCAACCCTCTGGAGGTCTGGAACTTGGAAGAGAGTGGCCTGGAGAATGCCCTTCCCAGCAAAGTCAAGAGCTCCCTGAACACCTACAAGGCCGTTTCCAAATGGATGTTCATCGCCTACATCATTGCATTTGCTCTTACGGTCGCTGAACTGGTCGTCGGTGTCTTCGCTATCTGCAGTCGCTGGGGTAGCTGCGTGACCAGCTTGGTGTCTGCTGTAGCCTTCTTCTTCACCGCTGCCGCTTCCGTCACTTCTACCGCCATGTTCGCCGTCCTCAAGGGCGTCTTCAAATCCGAACTCGAGCAATACGGCATTAAGGGCCAAATGGGCAAGAACATCTACGTCGCTACCTGGCTCGCGGTCGCCTTCTCCCTCGCAGCCACTCTCTTCTGGATCATCAGCTCCTGCTGCTGCTCCGGTCGCTCCCCTTACAACCACCGCAACCGCAACCGCGCCGTCATGGCCGAGAAGACCCCCTACACCTATGAGGCTCTGGGTCCCTACGGCCAGCCCCAGCAGACCCCCTACAACACCTCCTACCCTCCCCCGCCTCCTATCCACGGCAACCAGACCACGGGTCGGACGAACGCCTATGAACCCTTCCGTCATACTTAAATGATGGAATACCCCCAACATCAATCACCAAAAGAAAAAAAATCTCTTCCTGAATGAAATCGGAAGAAATTGACAACTGTTCATACTGGCGTTCGGGTTTGGGTTGGTTTAAGTCATGACAACAACCTGATGATGACATATTTTCTATTATTTTTGTGTATTTTGTTCTTAGCCAAGGGAGGGCAGGAAAGCTAGTGTGCATACCCGTGATACCCCGAGTATGGAGGGTTGGAACTTGGAATATAGAAGAGCCCTTGGTCCAGCCTGATTCATTCAGTGCTGCGACTCTTGGCATGATGAATTAATGCTAGTTGCATCTATATCTATTGTATATGAATTGATAAATATCTACCTTCACTCAGCTTTCTATGATTCTAGTACATGGTCCAGTAAGTTCTCCGCGGAGGATAGACTAAAACTTTACATTATGGCCCGCGTGATTAACAATGTAGTTTATTCATGGTGGTGCCTATTAAGGGGAAAACTAATGAACAGCTAAGTAGGGAGGAACGCACGTCAATGTCTGGAGAAATAAGATGCTTACCTACCACATCAACAACAGCTTTGTCACGTGGTGAGGTGAACAATGGAGCTAGAAGATCAGGTGATAATGCCCATCTGTAGTTAATATTCACCTATCGCAGTGTATAGAGGCTCTTGTTTCCCGAATCCTATTACCCTCTTTCCATTGGTTTGAAAGATTACATACACTTCAATTAATATTCCCTACTGAAGAAGCACTAGAACGCTGGCTTGGATATCATAATACATCCGAATCACAGCCTCATGTCTTGACTTAATAGAATAGTAAGTAGGCGATAGAATATAGCAATGAGTATAATAATACAAACTGGAGAAATAAAAAAAAAATGACATGTTAAGAATACAAGTGGAAAGGGGTATACGAAGAATAATATCCCAGAAGATAAATGAATAGAAACATAAATATGAATAGGAAAGCCCTCATCGACGATAGCCAGGACGTTGTATCACGCCCTTCTCATCAACAGGCAGGTATGCGCCTCCTCGTCGGTTACGTTCAGAGAGAACGGCCTGGTCCGCTCGTGCCCATTGCTTGAAGGGCGTGTTGGGGTCGTCGGACCAGACAGGGCCTTTGGGACGGATGTGTCGAAGGGACACGAACCAGTTCTCGTTGACACTTTCCGCGTCGGATTCGGGCTCAAGGTCAGAAAGCTCCTGCTGCTGCTGGGCCGCATCTTGGGTCTCTGCGCCGAGCTCAATGCTGGCTGTCTCGTGCGTCTCGTCAATCATTTCCTCGTCTTCGTCTTCGTCTTCGTCTTTGTGGTCAGAACCAGAATCTGCGTCACTATCTGGGGGCAGCGATATGGCGTTTGGCTTCGCCTCTGCATTCGTATCATCGTCTTCATCGTGGCTAGACTCGCTCACTATGTCAGATTCGGTTGAATCATGTGTGGAGTTGGGGGCTGAGTGGTGCTCTAGTTCCAACTCATCGGCGTCCGTGCTTCCTGAGCTTGCCATTGCAGCTTCACTCTCAGGTATACTGGAGTCTAAGTCCGGTTTGGGTTGCTCGTGCATGATAAAATCTCCACTCTCTGGGACACTAGAGTCCAAGCCATCTTCCTGGGAGGCTTCCTGCACAGCTGAGGATATCTCTGCGCGGTCGCCGGCGTCTTCCACAGCACTGGACTTTAGCTGTCCCGGCTCTGTCATCTCTTGAACAATGGCTGATCTCTCGCGAGTGTTGACCGAGCTTTGTGTGCCCCTTTCGTCCAAAGTAGACTTCAAGTGCTGTTCTAATTGCGCAGATGGCGTGTCTTCATTCGAAAACGGGTCTCGAACTTCGTAATAAGCTTCGCCTTCAGGAACGGAAGATTCCAAGGGTTGTTCGTCCATCGGCGCGTCATCCGGCTCTTGCCCAGTCCTAGTCCCTGGAATGCCTGATCCCGGATCCCGTTCCGAGGCAGTCTCCATAGCCTCCTCGTCCAATAATGGGAGATCTCCAGCTGCATTCGCGTCACGCCTGACCTTTGTCTGAGGAGTGGGAGACGACATAAGGCACGACATGTAGTCCATATCTGTATCAGACTGGGTTCCCTGAGTCTCAGGGCCAAAGGAACGGGCGTGGAAATTAGTGAATCGCTCGACAAGACTCCCCGTGAAAGAAGCGTCTGCTGTTCGAGATGCGATATCGGTGTCGGGCGCCCTGGCCTGATCTGCGGGAATATACTGTGCCGCATTGATTTCGATCCCATGAGTGGTGATGCTCCGCTTCTTGTATGAAGGCCTAGAGTAGGACGACGCAAAGAACTCTTCATATACCAATGACTTGGTATCCGTGGAGAGACACTCTTCAAGATAGCGTGGATAATCCTCCAGATGCTTGATGATAAAGTCATCCCATAAGAATGACCGCTGCAAATGTCCCTTGGAGCGGACGGCCTGGAGTTTCGAGCAAAGCTCGGTAAAGTGAGCAAAGTCCCCTGGATAGTTCGGATAATCCCGTCGAAACTTTTCATACACCCTTTGGGCCTCCTCCAACTTTTGGGTGGAGTGGTTGATGTAGCTTTGGCGACGAACGACTATGTTCAACGCTGGTTCTTCAGATGGCTGTTGATGAGGCTCCATCTTAGGCCGTTTGGCAGGGAACTCTTGCTCTTGTCCGATCTCCGATACACGACGTTTCGGGCGCGGCATTGTGGGCTGCTCGGCAGGCGTATCTCGCATCTCAATGCCCGCTACAACCACCTCCCCGATCTTTGAAGATATTGATGAAGGCATTTCTCTGTATGAGGAAAACGGATCTGACTTCTGTGAGTTGTGCATCGGGCCATTGATCGAGACACTGGGCGGTTGAGCTCCTGAAGCAGATGAATTGAACCCCATATCCGACGTCGTATACGGCGTTGTGTCGTTATGCAGACTGCCATTGCTCACTTGTGTGCTAAGTATATCGGAGTTCTTATGAGCGGCGGCGCCATTTTGACGATCCTGGGATGAAGTTTCTTTGGATCCACTACTGGCATACGTGTTGAGGATCCGTGACTGAGATGAGGATTTCGCTGCGTCAGATGACAGTTGCCCACCGTGATGAGTTCTATTTCCAGCATCTTTTCTAGCATAGTCCACAGATCGACGACTGACATTGTTGTCTGGCGTGTCCACTACCTGCACATGTTCGCGGATGCGACGCCCAGGAAGTGACGAGCCAGAGCTTGTAACTTCCTGTTCAGATTGACTAGCAAGTTGTACTTGTTGCACATCACCGAGCGGACACGGAACGGACGTGTCCATCACCGAGTCTTCGCTTTCAGCATCGGACTCATCCTGGACATCCCGTACATGATTTGTAACTTTCAGTTGAGACGTCTCACGGCAAGCGAGCTGACCATCCCCGTTGGAATTTAGACCCACGGTGTCATCTTTATTTTTGAACATCAGTTGCGGTATGATTTGATCATCGCGAGCAGACTCCAAGCTACCTTGCGGCGGCTGTTCGGACGTCTCGTTATTTGACTCTCCTCCCTTCCTAAAGGTACGAACACGCACTGGGCTGCTATCTTCTGGCAGAACCTGACGTGAACGTGACACCCGCTCTGGGGAACTTGACCAGTCTGACGTCAAAGGCTCGCCCTCCGATTCCGAATCGGTCTGAGGTGTAGGGCTGGGTTGGCTGGGTAGGAGCTGGTGAGACTCGGCCTCCACGTCCACAGACGTCTTGTGCCGAGCCATGCGACTCCTTCGTAGTGCCGTTTCGTTCCATTGATGAAGTAGTCTGGGTGGCACATGCCCCTGTGGCGTACTTTCTCCCGGAGATGGTGGTATCCAACGGCGCCTATGTTGTTCCAGCAGTTCGGCTTGTTCTTTTGGGATCTCAATGTCTCTCCGTCGAATCTTTGTCGTTCCATACCAAGGATCGGTATTATTGGGATACGGTTTCTCCGGTTTTATAGACTGAGAAGACAGTTTATTAGGACTTCCTTGAATCGCATTGGATGTTAACCCATTTGCTGTGACGGCACGATTTGGCTTTGTTGCATATTCTTCGCCTGGTAGATCAGAGGGTGGCTGGCTAACTCTCTGGGCCCCCGGTTCGCTTGGCAGTCGACTGAGGATATCAGGTTCCCTGGTCCCTGTGGCATTCTCAAGCCTTTTTTGGCTAGCAGTCGATGAACTTCGTCGGACATTCATGGAGTTGGAGGAAGGCTTGGTAGCCTCAGCGCTGTTCTGTCTACTCCGAAGCTGTTCTGCAGCCTCTGTCTTTCGTCTGTGCACATTGTCATTACTTAAGTCGGGAACATCCGGCATCCGCACACGCATTTCTGCATTCCCCAATAAATTATTTGTCATATCAGAACAGCTAATAGACGAGGTACGAGCCGCTGGACTCTCGAAAGCGGACATTGGGGGTATTTGGGACATCAGAACGTCTTGCGAAGCAGATATTCGAGTGCCCTGGTAAGCCTGTGTTCCGAAAGTATCATCGAATGGCTCCGCATGTGCCGCATCGTCCGCCTCAGGGCCCCTAATACTGTGAACAACATGTTGCATCAATTTCTTGACGGAAGGGTTCTTATTGACCAACTTGCCCTGCGGGGCTGATTTTGTCTTTCCGCGGCTCCAGTCGATATCGAAACGTCGAACGTATAAATGGACCTTTGGCTCAACTGTTGAATACTCCAGGACCACCTGAAAGTCCAACAATTGGATATAGTAACCCCGAGTCAGGTCCGCGCATAACGGATGGTCCGGAGCTGTTTTCCCGTAGGCCCGCAATGCCTCCTGTGTAAGAATCGCCTCGATCTGGGACTTCGAATCGGTCAAAATTAATTTGGGTACGCCCTCTTGCTCCCTCCACTAGTCGGGAAGATAGAGTCAGTACAGTGATCCTCATAGCTGTAAACGATTGAGAGAACTCACACTTTGGATCAAAGCCGAGTGCTGAACACGGGTAGAGAAACGAAGGTTACTACCATCATCTTCGTACTTAGTACTACCAGCTGGACCTTGATCATAAGATGCGAGACATTTCTCAAGGACGGATGCGATCCAGATCTCGGCGGAGCCCATCGTGAGGATCTAGAAGCAGGCAAATGCGGGCGAGCTTTTTGGTATAGGGCCACATAGTCCGGTGATAGAATTCAGCAGATCAAGTTTTGGTTAGTGTACGGATACGAATCCACGCTGGTTTCAATCCATCTGCAAATGCAGAGCTGTATAGTGGATAGCAATACTCATGATGATTTTATCCCTCCGATTATTCGAGTCTGGCACCTAGCGTGAGTTGCGCAGCTCATTAATTGTTCCTGCCAGAGACGCGACCTCATCGGCAACCGACGCGCCTGACCGCCTTTGAGGTGGCGCATTACTACTTCATTCGCCACAGCACCAGCCACGACGCGGCCGCCGACGCGAACCACGTCATTGGGCAGCGGCACATGTCATGGGCACCGCCCGAATCCCTGTTGCTGCTAATCGACAAGGTCTAGACAGTAGACAGTGCAGCCGGTCTCATTCAGCATCTTTTCTCCCCCGCTTTGCTCCTCTTCTCTCATCGGAGACAAAGGCTGCCTTTGCCTGTCCCCTCGGTGTCTTCGACTGACTGATTTTCTTTTATCCGACCTCCCTCCCAGGAAATGTGGAGTTCATCTCCCCATGCATGGACACTCACCGCACAGACTCCGATCACCGAGCAACGGAAGCTTCTCCGCAGCAAGATACCGCAAATGCTTGCCACCCCTTGCCTTGCCAAACCCGTCTGATCAACGTTCGATAAGATTCCGCGGGGATATCTGCTTTTTCGTGTTCTGTCCCTGGGAACGACGAAGCCTGTATGGCTTCCCAACAGTCCCAAGGGACCTCGAGCCCCTCCGCCTCATCTGTCTTCCTTCCTCTCGGTCGCCGCGGTTCTCGAGCTTCCGTATCAACACAGGCGGAACGTGAAAGCCTGCACGCAGCCCTCGATCAAATACATACCGCAGCCTATCAGTCGGATGCCTTGACAGTTTTCAACGAATTTACGAGCCCTCCTGCCCCGTCATCTGCAACGGACGAGAAAACTATTTCGGGCGAGCTGCAAGGTGGGCTGAGCGGGCTATACAGTCGCTTTAGGACTTCAGTGGGTGGTATTGTGAGCGGGGTTGGGAAATCATCAGACAAGAGCTCTGCGGATGATGCTGGTATAAAAAGTCCTCCGTCAGAGCGCTCGTCCATAAAGCCTGCTCATGAGACCTCGGAGCCTCATCAGCACTATGCGGGCTCGTCACAGGGATCAAGGCTGCACTCACCTGCGCCTGGGAGCCAGCACTCTTTTCAGGATGGTGTTCCTGGACCGGGAAAGAGCGCAAAACATCCTACCAAATCAACAAGCTCATCTTCGAAGCCGTTAATATCGCCTGCGCTTAAATCCCCGGTGGCACCTTTACCAAAGGCTACGGGTAGCTCAGCAGCCGTTGACCCGATGGTTACTGAACTTCATGTGAATGCTACTCATGCCTCAAGTACGAACTCGGTCAATCTTTCCTCTAACAGTTTGCAAACTGTCGAGTCCGCTGGCACGGACAGGGAAGATGGTCCTCACACTACATCTATGTCCTCGTCGGGTTGGAGCCAGCGACTTTCGAATTCCCCGGTCTTACAGGTCAAATCGAGCTCCGCGAACGAAACTCCAGGAAGCCATGATATCAGCAGAACATCTACGATGGGCAGTCAGGTGCCTGAAAGTTTCAGGAGGTCGGACTCGCAAGGAACTCATGAGATAGAGGCTGCCTTGCCTGGCCCGCTGCGCAAGGCTAAACGTTCGATCGATGGGACTCAAGATGGCTTACCCTTCCCCCCTGAGAGGCTACGATCGAATTCAGGCGCATCATTCAACTTGGACAGAATCAACACAGCCTCTGGATCAAGGACGAATAGCGTCACTCAATACAACAGCAATGAGGTAGCTCCATTCATTGAAAAGCAAGTTCCTTCTGGAGTCGCTCCGCCCATGCCGATGCCTGACGATGAGCCTCAACGGAAAGACTTACCAAAGCCGTTAGTCAAGCATAAGACTGGGGAAAGGCAGTCCATATCGAGCGCGAGCCGGTTGCCGGGATATGTGGCATCCCAAGCCTCCACAGCAGAGTCAGTATCTGGCCCACCAGCTTTGGCTCCATTAAACACGTCTGTGGACCGCATTTCTGGCACAGACGGAAGAAGCTGGCGTCCGCATGCAAGTGGCGACGGCGTCATGTCCCAACTCCGAAGCAAGCTACTGAGCAAGGAGTTCTGGATGCGAGATGAAAACGCAAAAGATTGCTTCCACTGTGGCGAGCCCTTCTCTACGTTTCGACGAAAGCACCACTGTCGAACGTGCGGGCAGATTTTTGACTCTAAGTGCACACTATTAATTCCGGGTGACCGGTTTAGCCAAACTGGAACTATACGTGTTTGCAAGCCTTGCGAGGCTATGATAAATGGCCATGACGACGATTCTTCCGAGTTCTCTGATAGCGAACAAAGTCCCATACCGATGATTCCTCGAATGTCCGAATTCGGATCGGGAATCTATCCGCGTATCCCCTCTGAGGAGGATGATACCTCATCGGTGGTGTCTCAATCTATCGAACATGTGATGAAGACTCCTACTATGGCCATCCCCGCAACACGGCGTGCAGGAGAAGGCCACAACCGCCGATCAGCCGTGCTTGAGATTAGCCCAGATAGACCTCTAGCCCGGCCGACGTCCTCAAGATCCTTAAAATCGTCATTAAGTGGGAGGCCTCATTCAATGGGCCACAAGCGTCACCATTCCCGTCAGCAGTACATCCGGAGTTTCAAGCCCCATCACGATGACCGGGCACCTTTTCAGCGGCGCCAGGCAGATGATGCCGTGCATGAGTCCCGGCTGCCCGCATTTCATAAAGATAACATCATTGATCCTGACCTGGCACAGTACCTCTCCGATGACGCCTCTAGTGGCGAGGAACAGCCTAATTTATTGTCTGCCGTATCGGAAGGCTCGCTGTCCAAGAGTGGTGGAGAAAGTGAGCGTACTACGTTTAGTGGACTGCTTGCAGCCATGAAGAAAGGCCGGCACGCGTTTGGAGATCGGAGTGTTGCTGGTTTGAACTCTTTTGGCCGCGAACCAGATGATGGTAGTGTTAGCAGCTCGAGAGCAGTAAATTTGCCTCGTCCTTCCCGTCGGCGCAATCTTAGTGTTGCAAGTAGTATCCACCAGCGCCACTCTCCGAGAGCATCGAAAGATAGTATGTTTAACTCACTCGAACAACCGGCTGCCGTTCACATCTTGCCCCCAGGAGTGCCACCAAGCGGCTTCAAGATGACCAGAAGCTCGTCTATGAGAGGAGCAGGTGCACCTCCGGTTGAGCTAAACAAAGCTAGTCTCCAGCATGTTCGCAAACTGCTACGACAGCTCCTGAAAGACTCGTCCGTGCCAAACGTCTCTAAGTGGGAAACGGCTCTTCTGCCGATACTTCTTAAGGCAGCGGATGAGGTTGTTCCGGACGTGCAGGGGGGTGACGATATGGATATTCGTCACTACATAAAGTTAAAGAAGATTCTGGGTGGCCGACCAGGAGATACTTCCTATGTTTCAGGATTGGTCTTCACGAAAAATCTTGCCCTCAAAAGTATGTCAAGGAGCATACCCCAACCAAAGATCCTGATAATTGCCTTTCCCCTTGAATATGCACGACATCAGCAGCACTTTATGAGCCTGGAACCTGTTATCCGGCAGGAGCGTGAATTCCTTGCCAATTTGGTGAGCAGAATAGCTGCGTTGCGGCCTAACCTGCTTCTAGTCGAGAAGAATGTCTCCGGTTTAGCCTTAGAGCTGTTGGAAAAGGCCAATATCGCCACCGCATACAACGTCAAGTCATCGGTACTTGAAGCTGTTTCTCGGTGTACTCAAACCAGGATCATCACATCTATGGATAAGTTGGTGACCACCCCGGTGCATAGCGACTGTGGCAGCTTTGATGTCAAGACATATGTGTACAACGGCCGAAAAAAGACATACATGTACCTATCTGGCTGCCGTAAAGAATTGGGCTGCACGATTGTTTTGCGCGGTGGTGATAGCGAGGTGCTTTCAAAGGTCAAAAGAATCACTGAATTTATGACCTATGTTGTCTACAACCTCAAGCTGGAGACCTGCTTGATGAGAGATGAGTTTGCGCAGATGCCGGCCTTGACTGATGCCGAGACGGAGAAGAAGACCGACGCAGGCCACGTTTCTAGCGAGGGGGCGAGTAATTCCTCTGCTAAAGACACAGCAGCGGGCACAGAGACTGCAAGCGAAGTGCCCGACGACGTTCCAAGGCCAACTTACTACGAAGATATTGTTCGGGACCATGAAACGAAGGTTCTGTCTGCGTCTCCATTTGTCCAGTTTGAGCCTCCCTACCTGCTCATGCGTGCCCGAGAAATGGAGCGCAAGTTGGCTTATCTTAAGCGCCTCCGCGACAAAGACCTTAACCTTGACCAGTCAGCAGATGAGAAGGCCAAATCTCAGAAATTTATACTGATCACCCCCGAAATGGTTCATGAGTCACCCGAGGGTGCTCCACCGAAGGTTAAGGAAGTTCTACGCGCAGTCCATGATGCCGAGTATGATAGAGCTCTTCATCATTATCAAACCCAGAAGCGTCAGTGGGAAGCTTATGTCGCCGGAAGCGTCGGCCTTTTTGATCCGTACGCCCACCAGAACATCGTCGTCCTCTTCAGTCTTGTCTGCACTACCACGTCAATCCCCTGCTCCGGCCCGGATCTTCTTGCCCTCGAGTACTACAACGAGCATGGTGGAGACCCGATATTTGAGCCAGACTGTACTTTAGGACAGTATGTCGAGGATATCTGTCTCCATGCAAATGCAGTATGTACGGCGAATGGCTGCGAGAAGCGAATGTTTGAGCACCACCGTCAATATGTGCATGGTGAAGCCCAGATAAGTGTTTTCACCCAGCCCTATCCCTCGAAATTGCGAGGCCTCCAGGATACAATCTTGATGTGGAGCTGTTGCAAGATCTGCGGTAATGAGACCCAAGTTTTTCCGATGTCGGAGAGTA